CCATTGACCAGATATTCACCATGCGCCAAATCTTGGAAAAGACCCGTGAAAAGAGGATCGACACTTACCATTTCTTCGTTGATTTTAAAGCAACCTTCGATAACACAAATAAGAGCTGCCTTTACCCCGCTATATCTGAACTTACCAAACGAGGTTTCCGACAGGGTGACTCCTTGTCGGGTGATTTCTTTAATTTGTTGCTGGAGAGAATAATAAGAGCGGCAGAGCTGAATAGAGAAGGTACAATCTTCTATAAGAGTGTACAACTACTGGCGTACGCCGATGGTATTGACAGTTCTGCTTTCTCCAGGCTTGATAAAGAAGCGAAGCGAATGGTCCGGGTAGTGAGCATCGCATACGTGACTTGGCGTACGATTTATGATCCTTTGCGCGTTGGCAACGGTGAATAGCGCAGACGATGGAACGATGAGCTATACGAGTTATACGGCAACATTGACATAGTTCAGCGAATCAAGAAGCAGCGGCTACGCCAGCTAGGTCATGTGGTGCAGGTGGATGCGAATACTTCAGCTTTGAAAGTTACCGACGCAGTGCCCGCCGGGGAAAACAGAGGAAGGGAAAAACCTCCACTTCGTTGGAAAGACCTGGTAGAGAAGGACCTGGTAGAGAAGGACCTGGCTGTACTTGGTATTTCCGACTGTAACCGCGCAAGCAGTGCCTACGACAGTAAAGTAAGTAAGTAATTCCGATACATTTTTACCAACATTCCAAATTAATGCGCAGCCTTAACGCACTTTGTAAAGCTCAAATCATACACCGTTGCGTAGAATAACGGCATCAATAGTCTGGTTGATGTCGTTACAAGTACGCAATATTATAAAAATATCTGCATATGTGATATGTATGTATGTATGTAAATATATGTAAGTGTACATAGGGATGCCTGCGTGCTTCTTGTGAACACACCCAGGCGTATGATGAACATGCTCGCAAAATTCTCATGAGGGGCGTTTTCACAGCGACCGCCAGATACATAGTGTACATATGTACAAGTACACACATACATGCATACATATGTACTTATTTAAATATTCAAAAGCCAATAACGTTTACCACCAGCGCAAAACGATTATTTGTAATTTATATGTAAATAAATAAGCGACAACAAATATTAATTGATATTTTAATAGCTATAAATGTTGCTAATAAAAATGATGATGTAAATATGATAAATTGCTTAACACCTTCCACGAGAAAGGAATTTCTATTTTCATACAACAAAACGTTTGTCATCTAATCTACATACACCGTAGTAGTACAATAGTATGCATATGTATGTACGTACGAGTATGTCTGAATGCATATTTATTTATTTGTGCCAGCAATATTTCATATGCGCTGCAATGGCAAGTGAAAATCCAATAAAATTAAATTAGCAAAGCGAATCGAGAACACATTAGAAGTGCGATTTCGAAATCTGCGTCAGATTCATAAATATAAATGCAAATTGCAAGAACAAATGCTTGTGTGCATGTGCAAATGTATATAAATGTAAATATATATGTATGAATGAGTGTGTGTATGTTCACAGGAAATATTACAATTCCATAAGTCATAAGCAAACGAGTACACACATACATACGCACTCCCCAGTTTATTGGGTGAACGCTTTCGTATAAGGTCTGCGCCATAAATAAAACCTTTTTACATAGATGAAACTGCCAAAAGCTTACAAAGTAAAAATAATAGTAATAATTTCTTTTATTCAGCCTTAATAAATCCATTCTTAAACAAATGTAATTATACCATACTCATTTTGCGGTATCAAGCGTTCACGAAGTTAAGCGAGACAGCAACGTAAAGGAGCATCCGTGTGGTAGGTGCGGTTCTTAGTGGGGAATATTGTGGGCCCTTGCCGAGAGCTCAAAGTCTTGCAGCATACTTATGTATATATGGCAAACCAATACAATGCTTCTCATCACTCCTTGAGGTCAAATGTAGAACCCGAGTCGCTCAACATCTGGATATGATTGTCCCTCCAACATCAACCTCTCCAAGAGTAATTCTTACATTAAATAAAAGCTGGCATCGCATCGTTAATACTGATTTATCTAAATAGAATAAAAACAGTGATTTTACGATATATCGCCTGTCGTCGAAGAAAAAAGACTGCACGTCCAAGTCTTTGTTGAGAGTCAAAACTTTGAAGTTGTAGACATTTACGTGTCTCTGAAACCAATATTAACACTCAAAGCCTTGAAGTCCAAAACAGAAACACTTTTGCCTACAGGTTCTACTTTGAACGACGAACAAAGATTGAACTCTCAAAGTCCCTCATAATTGTCCTTGAAGTATTGTATTTGTTGTAGTGTTTCACCAATCCCGCTTAGGAACAAGCGATCTAGTCTAATCTTCGAGATCATCTAACAGCAAGTCGAAAGTCGAGTTTGGGAAGCTGGCCGACAGTGGTAATGTTCCGAAATTCTGGATAGTACACTTCGCCTGCCTTTTGGTTGGCAGTGAAAATGGAACACCGGGAGATGGCGACCCCTTTTTTACCCGACTATGAGGAAGTTCGAATAGCAATTACCCGCTTAAAAAACAACGAAGAACTGACACTTTTCTCGAGTCAGTTGATTTGCCCAATCTGCAAAGAGGGCGATCCCACAGTCTATGCCGATTACCGTGGCATAAGCTTCCTCAATATCGCCCGACAACAAACGAATCCTAACTAATTACTATGATTATATATAACTATCAAATATATGTCATTATATCACATATTTGTAAAAATATACATAATTTCATTTAATGATCCAGCCTAAAAGTATGCAATAAAATATGTCAACCATTTTTATCAATTTTAATCAGCACTAAATGGTAGCAACGCAAGCACATAGATACTTCATAATGAAGTCTAACCTGCATATATTTATCAAATGTGTGTATGCTCTCATGTCTTTTCGCAAATATCAAATATCTCCTACTGCTCTCTCCTATTTATTCACAGAAGAGACAGTTTCATTACGACACCTGAGCTAAAGAGCGTACACTTTTTAATCTATGAAGAGCACAGAGATAAGAAAGAAGACATTATCAGAAGCACAAACTTTGATAAGAATACGTCATAAAATGAAAATCAACGATATTGATGAGCTGATATTGCAGCGGAATGTCGGGATATGCGGGTACAATTGAAAATTTACAAAAACTCTGAATGAATTTGAAATAATTAACTGTAATAAATTAATTGTTTGATTATTGAAAACTTAAATTTAAACAAATTTTATTTTGAAGGTCGGCAAATCATTTACATACTATGTGCTTATAGATTAAAAAAAAAATCGAAACAATTTTTAATATCAATAAAACACGCGCTTCAGAAGAGGTAAATAGCCAAGCAATAATTTACGAATACATACATTTTTATGGTGTTGGAATGAGAGGGTTACGGGGTGATGATTAGGAGCTATGTAATATTATGCCGAGGCCAGGCAGGAGCATCCAGGAGCACCACGCCAAAAGGTTGAAAAAATAGTTCTCGACGATACTCGACTAAAGATGAAACAATTCGCAGAAACGATTGGAGTATCCGATACAACCGTTTTTAAATCCTGCACTCTAATCTTGGCAAGACTAAGGCCAGTACATGATGGATCGCAATTATGCTCACATCTACTTTACTGGCGTAGACACCGCTAATGCGATTATGACCAAGTTAATAAGATCGTGCCATTCATTCCGTTCCTCACTGAATGGCTTCCATTGCAAATAACAAGTGCACTCAGCATCATACAGCAGGATGGAAATTATGGCTAACTTGTAGAGTTTGTCGGTCTTTATCCGTCCGTTGCAATTACCTACTCAGTTCAAAGTAGCAACCGTTGGGAAGAATGATTCTGTTTTAAATTTCATAGCTGAAATTATTATTGGTATTAAAGCTGGTCCTTGTTCACTACCAGACCCACTCGTTACGCTTCTTTATCAAGACTGGAGAAAACAGCATGGCGCGATTGATGAGACCAATGAAATCTGTATCGGGGTACATCAGAAGCTAGAGTGTACGGATTGTACCTTCTGTATTTAACTATGTAGCTTGTATTATCATTTTCAAAAATAAATTAAGGTTTCGCAAGTACCTTACACATAAATTCTTTTTTTTTTCAAATTCTGGTATTTCTTCAAGAATATTAAATAGACTGGCTTAACGTTTTCAGTGATTATATTTAGATTCGACGGCGTACTCCTCATAAAAATACGAAGATAATATTTGTTATTTGCATGTAAAACGAATATACATATGTGTGTATACATACATATGTAAATTTAAGACTCACTTAAGTACATATGAAAATATATGCATTTGTATCTTACTCTTAACGAAGAACCCTATAATATTGCTTAAAGAAATTAATTTTAAAAGAATTAGACGAAATCAAGAATACTCTTCAGCTAACACTGAGCGAAGCCTCACTCTTAGTCAAATATAATCTAATAAAGAAGTGTATTTTCCATCCATTGCTTTGGCGGCCGTGGTAGGCGAGTAGGGGTCTCGCCATTTGCTGGAAAAAAAAACATCAACACGCGAAATCACAAATTGGAGTAGGAGCTCGGCCGAAAACCGCTTCAGCGGGTACAAAGCGTCAATATATATTCCACATCTCTATGCATACTTACTATCTAAGCATATGAGTCTCGCATTTTTAGAGCGAAAATGTGCTGTAATGATCGCCGGCAGCCAAAATCATACGAAGCGGAGAAGATCTCACTCAACGCAGAGATCAATAAAAGAGTATAAGTATGCACATGCGTAAGTATAAGAAGTATCTCTGAGATACTTTTATAGTATCTCTTACTTATACACTCACTTCCCTAATTTTATAAGGGTGCATACATACATACATACATGCGAATGTATCTCCAGTTGGATGTGGTGTGAGAAACCTTCAGCTCTTACAGAGCGATACTTTGTGTGTCTATTAATATGTTTATGTGCGCGGCAATGCAACTCTTTTCAATAAATGACTGTGTTTGCTTTGGTCAAACGTCTCGATATTTTAGTGCGGCAACGATTTTCATCGGCTTTTGACGTTTCGTTTCTTTGTTGAGTGCGGTTAAGTCTTATTTGTGTAAACATACATATTTATGTATGTTCGTTTGTATATTTACATATCAATGGATACATGTGAGTACCTGCATACAAATATATGTATAATGAATTTTTATTTGCAAACATACGTACATACTCGTGAATCAAATAAATGCATATGTTCGTGTTACTGTTAAACGGAAAACGACGTTATTCCCCACGATCGATGAATTTGTGGACTCTACTCACATTTCAGACATTTCTCAGTGGTGCGAAAAATATATTGTGTAAGATTAAATAATGGAAAAAGAAACGTTAGAAACACGCAATAAAAACAAATAAGCTAAGAAATCGTAAAACAAAAGAAAATAGAATTTAATTAAATCACGGTATAGTAAAAAATTAATTTACTTTTGTAAAAATTAATCTACCGGCTGATTCCTTCTAACGTGAAAAATTAATCAACAGTGTTATTTCGGAAGAAGCAGCAAGTAATTAAAAGCAGTGCATTGAAGAAAGTGAGTTCAAAAGAGATATAGAGAGAGATAGAGATAGAGAGCGCGTAACTTATTTTACACCAACAAATCTATACACGAATGTTTGTTTATAGATTGCGCCTTTATACATACACATACATGTACATAATCATACGCGTCATAATTTCGACGTTGCTTTGGTGGAGTGTCAATTTTTTAAAGAAATTGTTAAAATAAAATAACTTCGGAGCATTTGATGAAAATTAAGACAAAATTTAGATATCTTTATTTGCTTGTGATTGGTTACCTGTGAATTAAATTTAAAAGATTTATTAAGGTATGCCAATACTGCAATCGACAAAAAACACCTGTCTTCAAGAATTTGTCTTTGACGGATGGAATGGGAAAACAGTTATAATGGTTTGTCAAGTTATTAGCCCTATATTAAAATAAAAAATAAACATAAAATTTCGCAATATGGCAATTATACCAAAGAATGTAACTGCTAAACCCCCTATATAATACCTCCTTGTTGTTCAGCGTGCACCATTACACCTTCAGCTCGTATGATTCCAAAAAAAATTTCAATTACATCCAATATAAGTTATTATATCTGTGCCGCTTGCTTGCTATCCACTATTAGATGTGAAACGATGCTGTGACGTGAATTCAAAGCAACAGCTGATTGTCAAAGTTTATTACCCCTGATGGCGCAATCTTACAGCTCTCATTCTTGAAATTTATAACTACCTTATGAACTTTTCTTAATCAGACAATATTCGCAACTGGCCGCGGTAGCCAAAGATAGCATTATCATGTTATCTTTGGCGGTAACCGAGAGGGTAGTATTGCTTACTGCCATTCGGAAGGCTTGGATTCAAATCCGGGTACGATCAACATCCAGAAGTTATAGAAAATGAATTTAAATAAAAAACTAAGCTAATTTTTCTAATTACGGTGGCCCCTCGGTAGGGAATGTCCACCGCTCCGAGTGTATTTCGGACATGAAATAAACGCTCCTCGGATTCGGCTTAGTATAAACTGTAGGTCCCTCCATTTGTTTGAAAAACAACAAGACGCAAAACCACAAATTGGAGGAGGAGCTCGGTCGAAAATCACTTCATCATATAAACAGCGCTAATTATTATTTTTATTATTTGCAAGCGAAATTTCATTTGCAATGATAATGGATTAGCGATTTTCTTTCCGTTTTGTTTAAATAAATTAAATAAATAAACTTTAAGTAAAATTTTAGCTTCAATTCAATAGGTTGCATTTTAATCGGTAGACTCTTTTTCCTTAATTGGGTCCGGGACACCGAGGAAAACTAACAACAACTGGTCGGTGTCCAAACGTACTTACTTGCACATGTACATACATATGTAAGTATGTTACATATACATACATTTGCATATGTAGAACATGTGTATACATGTACATGTACCCTTTTGTATATTCAACTGTATACATACATACATACATACATATAGAATTAGTTCCAGCTGCTTTAACGAATGCTCAATTTACTCTGTAATCTACGAGCATATGGATGTTTGTAGAAAATGCATTTCATTCATAAAACGTGATTATATATTCAATCCAAATTGTGCCATAAGCGTGTGTGGCGTGCGACAGAGGTTTGTATGTATAATATGTAATTATAAGAGGGGCGGGACATAAAAGATCACATTGAACTCACGCATGAACTCACATATGTATGTATGTATGTAAATATCACATACGAGATTTGTGCAAAAATTATCCAAAATTTTTATATATCGCATGAATGGAAAGACCGATTGTAAAATACTTTTTGAAAAGCGTTGAAGATGTGGACGCACCAGCACATCAGCACCTGATGAGAACGTGGGAAAAGTGAAAAAAATTAATGAATTTTGAACGAAAGCAGCGGCAAATGCTTTCGTACTATCATTCGAAAGGTCAGGGTATCAGAGAACAGCTTCCAAAAATTGTTGAAAATTAATTGATGTAAACACTCAAATTAATGGCGGATTGAAAAACCTCAAAACAAATTGGGATTCAATTTCTAAATTTTTTAAAATTCACGTAATTTAATTTACAGATTTTGGAATTTGTTTTATACAAAATTTAGATTCTACATATTTTAAAAATGGATGTGTTAGTGCAGTATTTAATTTGTAAAATTGAAATAAATATAATTTCAGAAAAATTCAAATGAAGAATGATCGCGGGGCGGTGTGGGATTTGCGATGTAGTTGCGCTGGGTTAATTAGTACAAAAAAGTTTTCCAGGTGAATATGATTTGCAACTTTTGATGACATTGGGCATTAGGTATTTTTCTCAGATGAGAACAGGTGGCATTGCCGCCTATGAGTGACGACCACTAATTACTCCGAAAACATAAGGAGGTCCATGTCCTCAACGTACATACATATACTTGTATATATGTATGCATCAGGTGACGAACCATGACTTTACGAATAGGAGGTCGTCAAAATCGAAATGAGCTGACAATTCATTACGATAATGCGCCATCCCACACTTCTCGGCTTGTTTATGTAAATTTTTGGCCAAGAACAATACTGTAACGATACCCCAACCCATTGCATGGCGAACAGTGTAGTGGCCTGAGCCCCACTCATATCAAAATACAGAAGCAGAGCTGAGCATCATAAACCCAAGATCACACTGCTGTTTAAACTTACGTGACTGGATATTCTAAGTTAAGATACATATTTTGGGTTGTTAGGTTGCTTCACCTATTCAATGACCTATTTTCCATTCCAACCAGTGCTCCCAGTGACTCTTCTTCTATGTCCAAAAATAGAGAGAACCTTGAAGGGACGTCGTTGTAGATGGCATTAAAAGTGCATCGCTGGGAACTATTTTTAAGGTGACAAGATCAATGTAGTCAAAAACAAAAAAAGAGTATTTGGTTCAAAACCTTTTCAGTAAATATTTATGCTTATTTGTGTACACGTGTTTGTGTTTCTGTTCATGGAATTTTCAATGTTTATAAAACATTTCGACTAGAAAACTTTTCCACCCAGCCACACATACATACATTCACGCACTATTCAATTTATGTGTGTGTATGATGGGCGTGTTTTTTTTTATTTAAATATGAAGATTTCAAGAAGAAATAAAACGCATATTATTTAAAGTTATGCCCAAGAATTTATGCCGATTATAGAGGGAAGGGTTCGCCATTATGTTTTAAAAATGATTTCTGGAAAGTGACCACCGCGGCGGCTCGTAAGAACTCCAACCGAAAGTTCCATTTTTTGACCATTTTCCGGAGCAATCGGACCATACTTCAGCAAATAACGCGCCTAATATTCTTTTCCTCCAGGTGTCGTATTAACATTCAAAAACTTTAAATTTACAAACAAATTTAAATAAAAAATTAAGTTAAATTTTCTAATTGCGGTCACCCCTCGGCAGGGAATGTCAACCCCTCCGAGTGTATTTCTGACATCAAATCGCACATGTCACATCCGAAGAGGCTTAATACAGACTGTGGGTCTCTCCAAATGTTGGGAAAAACATCAAGACGCAAAACCAACAAAACCATAAATATATATATATATATATAACATTATTTTCCAAGGCGTAGACAAGCGAATTCACATAAAATCGTTAAAAATAATCCAGCGGTGTTGAATTCATCTTGGAGGCCACGCCACAGGCCCACGACGTGAGATATTGAGTTCACCATTGCCGTCTGACCGGGATATTGATGACTTACGTTCGAAAGTGAACTTTGCTATCTCGACGACCTTTCCCACTTCTATGCTGGAAGACAAGTACGACTATAACTAGCTAAATCCTCGACTACCCTCTTCACCAGCTGGACGAATGAATACAAACTCGAACTCGATGGGAAAGTCAATGGCGTAAAAGTTCCGACAATGAACAGCCCAAAGTTAAAGGGACATCAGTATATGATTGTCGTAAACTATGCTGCCCGATTCGGAGGCTGGAGACTAGCAAGTCGCAGATGAGAAGCTACAAGATTGTCAGAGCCCCGCCCCCAGGACCGTGAGAGGAGCCTTCTGATGTCGCCAGAATATCACTTGAAAACAAAGCATCTATGTTACGAATTAAGAAGCTTATTATAAGCTGAATCACAGCCTGAGCACATCACTTAGAGAATAATCGACCTTAAGGACTGCATTCAGCACCACTTACAACAACTGCTGGACACGACGGCTCACCGAAAGTCATTAAACGTCATTCGCAGAGATTCCGTCAACACCTTCCTGAACTCTCTTTCAGTACATGACGTATTCAGAGTCAGATGAAGACTGGCACTACTTATATCTGGAAATTGTAGTAGAGTAAACTCTTACCTATCTAGCACGTTTCCTTGACCTCCCGTTATATGGCCTCGGTGATTTAGACTGATCTAGTTTGCTCCTAAGCAACATCATGATGCGGCCAAAAATTTCTTCCAATAAATTGATAGTTTCGTTGGAGCCAAACATCGTCCACATCAACATCCTTGATTTCCTTAGGTATGTATATATGTATATGCGAAAATCCTCAATTGAAATTTCGGATAGCCTGGTACCTTAAACACACTGAGTATGTAGAAAGTATGTACGATTTTATTATTCAATAGTTGTAACAATAGCTCAGCAGTACGAGCTTGAAGTGCATACTTTCAGTAAATATAACGGTAGCGCTCATCAATTGCCGAGCAAGATCGTTTTATAAGTGTCACTAAAAATAGAAGCACTCGAGCACTACTGCACAGTGTCTTATTTACAACAATGTCACACACAAAATATGTACATTTTTATTTTAGAATATTTGATTGACATTTTTAGACAAGACTTTGTGTGACGAGGCGAAAAAAAATTAATGCTATTTTAAGATTTCCTTGTGTCAAATAATTGATAATTAATTTAGTCCTTTGAACTGCGAAACCACTAGACATTCAAGACCGAGGTCTAGATAAGGCGGGACGACAGTAGCAGAGAAAATTGTCCAGCGTCTCACTCATGCCTTCCTCCCTGCACTACCTGCACGTGTTATCGTTTCTGATGCCCGTGTGGCGTGTGTTGCCAGTAGGTTGTGACTGTAATCCTTTCTAGACAGCGTGAGTAAAAAATCTGCTTGTTTTCCTTCGGTGCACATGACCCTGGTGATTCTGTATGTCGTCTAACTCGGATCCGTCTGTCAGCACTTTCGGCAATTTAATTCCGTATCGTTTTTAGCGACTTCCGTATTTCCTGCATTGCTTCGATAGCCAGACGGATGGCTCTTTTAGCAATCTCATCAACTATATATAACCGCCTCCCTGCTTCTAAGCACATTCTCTGAGGCAACTTCTGGTTACCTTTCGACATAAGTATGTACGTACTATACAATACTATGGGCAAAAAGTGGGGTGAATTTTTAATTTGAGTTTCGCGCATTTAATATTTCGGCTTAATTCTTTTTTTTTTTAATGTTGGTAGCACTGTTATTGACGTCTACTCCAAATTTCATGCCAATGTCATCATTGATATTTTAGTTACAAATAACGACTAAAAGTGCCTTCGGCGATTTTTAAAAAAGGTGATTTAGTTGAGCAAAGAAGTGCGATCGAATTTTGTTTGTGGAACGAGTTCTCAGCTGTTGAAACATTGAGGATACTACAGAAAGCCTTTGCGACTCAACCATGTTGTAGAAGAACGTAAATAAGTGATACAAAGAGTTTGAAGAGGGTCAGAAGCGTATTTGGGCCAACAATTCTTGGTTTTGCATCACGATAATGCACCGCCGAACACTGCACTCATTATTCGTGACGATTTCGCTAAAAATTCAACGAATTTCATTCCCCAACCACCGTATTCGCCGGACTTAGCTCCATGTGACTTATGGTTCTTCCAAAAACTCAAGAGACCACTTCGAGGACACCGTTTTGAGTCGATTGAGGAGATTAAACGTGAGTGGCTCCAACACCGGTTTCACTTAACCCTTTTACTTATTTTTACAGAATTATTTCAATTTTTTACTATGCAAAACTTCATATATGTGGGGGATGGGTATGATGTGCGGATTATTTGCTGATATTGCTAGCATGCCTTCAGATAGACAGACTAAGAGATGAACAAAAGCCAAGCCGATTCGTTCCACTATTGAATTTATCTTTACTATTTTATCCCATTACAGGACAACGCGCATAAAAAGCTCTTAAAATGTTGATCCAAAACTCCGTAACCAAGCGTAAGACGTTAATATTCGCGTTTTTCGGCATCGCCTTGGGTCTATGTATTGGCACCGTACTCAAAAATTATCGCGCGTTGGAAATTGTCAAGCGTTGCAGTATGAAGCCAAGTGGACAGTTGAACCCTTTCGAAATCATCGGCATGAATCCCGAAGAAGAAACGATTAAAACTTCTCAGCGTAATCTTGTATTTGTGGGTGTAATGACAGCAAAAAATTTTATTGAGGGGCGCGCACGGGCCGTATATGATACATGGGGTAAGGAAGTGCCCGGTCGGATAGCCTTCTTTAGTTCGGAGGGTTCACACTCTAAAGACTTGCCGGTAATTGGTTTGAAAAATGTTGATGATCGCTATCCACCACAAAAAAAATCATTTATGATGCTCTACTATATGTATGAACACTATATTGATAAATTTGAATGGTTCATACGAGCCGATGATGACGTCTACATTGAGCCGGAGAAACTAGAACGTTTTCTACGATCGATCGATAGTTCGAAACCGCAATTTATAGGTATGTTGGCATTTAAAATATATATGGTATAAACGTACATACATGTATATTATATGTAATGTGTAATACACAATTTTCTTGTTATTCAGGACAAGCCGGCAAGGGCAACAGTGAGGAGTTTGGATTGTTATCACTGGAGTTTGATGAAAACTTTTGTATGGGTGGGCCGGGTGTGATATTGAGCAGTGAGACTTTGCGCAGAGGTAAGTTAATATTTCCAAAAAGGGTATAAGAGTATAATTTTCTCCCTACAGTTGCGCCGCATATACCAACGTGCTTGAAGAACCTTTATAGCACACATGAAGATGTGGAGGTCGGACGCTGCGTGCAAAAATTTGCTGGTATTCCATGCACTTGGAACTATGAGGTGAAGCCTAAATCTAAAGTAGAAAGTTACGACTACCTTCAGCTGTGCCGAAGTGTACAAAGCCCGTCATGAGCAGGAATTCGTTTTATTTAAATTTTAGGGATGCACAATTAAAAGATATTTATCATACATATCTAGTAAAAGATTCACATATTTCGTATATGTTTTTTAGCTAGTGCGCGAAATCATGTTCCTTCGGCTCATAGCAAGTACTGCTACTCGCTCAGCAACTCTTTCAAGTGGGATTATATATTTGGCGCTTTGTGACCGCCGAGACTCTCCTCCATTTTGTGATATGGGTCTTGATGCTTTTCCAATAAATGGAGGGTCCTACAGTTTATTTTAAACTGCTTCCGACTTGACACCCCCTACCGAGAGACGACCGCAACTGGAAAAATTATTTTCTTTTATCTTAGGTGTTGGTCGGACCAGGACTCAAGCCCTGGCCTTCCGAATCGCAGTACGCACTGCTACCCACTCGCCTATTGCGACCGCTAACTGTACACAAGTAAATAGCGTTATATCAAAGAGAGATAAAATGAACGAATTCTCAAAAAAAAAATATCCTTTGCTCCTTACAAATATTTGGCATGCTCTTTATATATGTATGTACTTCCGAGTATATACAAGTCCATATACTCGTATGTATATAGGCAATTGTTAAAGGTTTTTCTTTTTTCTTAGATGCAGTATATTCTGAGACACAACTCGAGTGGACAGTATGCATTCACCGGAAAATTGAAGCGCAAAGAGATACACAATGCCATCTCCCTTCATCCCATCAAGCAAGCACCATTGATGTATCGGCTACACTCATTCGTGCAGGTTCTATCGATACCAAAACATTTTGCAATATAAATGGGGACCAATAGTTTTCTTTGTAATTCAAGGGCCTTAAAGCGGAGGAAATAAGACAGGAGTCCCTGGAGCTACATCGTGATATCAAGCGAATGGGCAGCTTTCTAGAAATACCTAGTGACAGCAAATATTTGGTGCCGGGTATCGAGTTAATACCTGAAAAAACGAATAGTGAGCAACACTACGAAGACCACAATATTTTGGGTGAGTCTAAATTTTATTTACAATACCTATTTGTGTATTTAATTTGTATAGGTATTTGTGTGATTTGATTGTAGGTATAACACCGGATTTGAATAAATTCACACCATCTTCGACAGCGGACCTACTCGAATGGTCTTTCATCGCGCGCAGCCTTTACGCGTGTGAGAATGCAAATCCGAAACACAAAATCGACTCAGCATTACGCGAGGGACTTGAGGACGTCATAACGGAAGTCATGGAGAATATTAACAATTATTCCCGACAAAGGGGCAGAGTTATCGAGTTCCGTGAGCTTCTCTACGGTTACAATCGCCTAAATCCTTTGCATGGTCAAGACTTAATACTGGATCTGTTACTGATTTACAAGCGATATCGTGGGAAAAAAATGACTGTACCAGTTCGCCGGCATTTGTATGTGCAACGTGCCTTTACCGGTACTTTCGTCAAAGAATTTAACGAGGATTTCTACAATAAAACTCTACAAAAAAGTAAGTACGCTAAAGGAACCCGTATTGGGCAGGTAAGGTTTGTTATGAGCATATGTACATATGTAGATATACGGGTAAATACGATGTATGTATGTATATAGCCTTCGGTATTTATTCGCTGCAGGTTGAGCCAACCCTATAACAGGAAGTGTACTGTTTCGAATGGTTTAGGACGAGAGAGAGAGAGAGGGGTTAGACAGGGTAATGCAATGGGGTGATTAGTGTTGTGCGGGGTCTCATTGCATGTTGGTCATGCTGCGGTCTAATCTGGAAAAGTAGGATTAACATGCAACTATGTAACAGTCTAAAAGTCAGGGTTCGAGCCCTGGTCTGACCAAACACCGAAAATAATACAAATTTCATTTTTCTAATTGCGAACGCTCGAAGCAGCTCGAGTGTTAACGGAATTGCATTTAAAGTCTCTCGGCACGTCATTCAGTCCAGCGGTTCTTGTGTATGGTGCGGTATGAGGTATGCGTGGTGCAGAACTCAAGCGACTCGATCGGTTTGCTCAACTTTGTGCCGAACCTCCTGATTGAAATCCCAGATGAGGAGATTATCGCAATCGGCATGATATTGGGAGTCGCACCTGGAAGCTATAACCGCCGCTTGAGCACGAAAATTAGGACGGATACTTACGATTGGGCCTGCCGGGATGAAGTCGGCGGCTGTGTACGGGACTATTTTGCGGAATAAGCGTTTACCTACGGTAACTTCTACTGGATGGGAGAGCGCACTGAAGGCGTTCTCGGTAATTTGAAGCCGCGCCAGTTAGTTCTCGGTTTCTCACTTCTTCTTTATTTTCTATCCCCTTCGCCTATTTTTTTTCTTTCTTTTTTTGGTAGATGCCATGATCCCAGTCTTCATTTCTGACCTAGTATACGCCTAAGATTGGGGAAAAAACATTACAACAACTTAAAACAAATTCTAACAATTTCCGATTCGATGTTATTTTTTCAGGTTATCTGGAGCACATGTTAGCTTCCGGCATGGAACGTATTTCAAAACATTTTACACTTCCGGGCCTGCCAGTCGCAAAGAGGCTATTTAGCACAACTGCTGAAAAGCCAAAAATCGTGTTTGTATTGCCCATAGCGGGTCGTTATGATACATTCCATCGTTTCTTGATTACTTTCGAACGTGTAGCAATTGAGCAGGATAAACATAGCGACTTGTTGGTGGTAATATTTGGTGACACCGCAAGCATTGAAAGACACCTACAGCTTTTAATGGAGCTTCGTCAGCGTCACACATACAAACAGATAAACTGTATACAACGTAATGAGGAATTCTCACGTGGTGTGGCACTGGATGTTGCTGCACGATCGTCGTACATAGAAGATAATGACATAATGCTCTTCATCGATGTTGATATGGTATTTCAATTGGAAACATTGCAGCGCATTCGGCTCAATACGATACAAGGGCGGTACGTGTATTTACCAATTGTATTCAGCCAGTATGATCCTAAAAGACGTTGGAGAGGTGAAAATGTTGAAAATGCACATACACCATATGACGAAATCACCAATGAATCGGGCTATTTTAGACAATTTGGTTATGGTATATGTGCAATCTATAAGTCTGATATACTTGATAAAGATATAAATGGTTTTGATAAAGATATCACTGGTTGGGGATTGGAAGATGTAAAGTTCTTAGATAAAATCGTTAAAGTCGGTAATCGTCGAAATGGTTATCTAGTCAATACTGCCGAGATTCCTATCCAGTACGATGAAACAGTACAAAAAATTAGACGGCTTAGTATATTTCGGGCACCTGATCCCACTCTTGTACATATATATCATGAAATCAATTGCGATGTTAAGCTAGATGCTCCACAATACAACATGTGCCTCGGAACAAAAGCAAACTCAATGGGCAGCACATCTTTTATGGAGCATTTATTTTATAATAACAAAAATAATATAGATTTTACTTTAGAATTCAATCGAAGAAAGGAGCAGAGATGAAAACGACTCAATAAAAATATTTGGGCACAAAAGTCTAAGCTTTAACTAGACTTACAATACAAGAATCTATATCGTCGATGATGCCTACAAGGCATATTAGTAAGAAGCTCATATCTGGGAAGTATGAATCGAAAATTTTTTTGTTCGCACTCATCAAATTTCCACTTTCTACTTTCCACACGGGAAAAAAATCCATTAAGAAATATGTAATTGCACTTTGGCCTTTTGGGAAATACTTGTACTAACTTTATGCAGCGAACAAGAAATTAAATGTTTAATAGCTTGAAATCATTGGACACTTATTATTGTTGCTATGAAATCTCACTTTACTACACTTCATACAGGATTTTTCATTACATACTCATACATAATTTAGATACACACAAATATTTGCCAAAAAAGTTGTATGAAATTTTAATCACATATATACATATATGTAAAAGTAGTACAGGCAGAAATATAATATATTAATATATATACTACTTATAAGCCTAAATATTTTCTTTCGTTTTGTCTTGTGATAGAATCTAAAATAAAGACAGCTTAAAAATAAAATTTATAAATTACATGAACTGGACCGGTTCGATATCGAGAAAAGACAATGTTCTATTAAGGATTTCACGAATAGCTTTCACCAGGTAAATTCGCGCATATACACAAGGCATTAAGTGGTCCCTTTTTTCGTGCTATAAAGTAAAAAAAATTGAATACGTACTCGAAACAACAATAACTTTTAATTTTCTTACAATCAGAATGCGTATGCGACGGTAATAGACACTGAAGAGTGAAGCAAAATCGCCAAGAAATCTCACAATAGTATGAATCGCGCATACACCATTTCTTATCTGATCCAAACAGCTCTCAATCAGGTTGGGAAAGGCAAAAATATAGTTGAACACTAGTTGCCATTCTTCCTAAATTATAAAACCGATTTATTGAAATAACAAATTCAATTCAATGTAAAAAATTACCATTATACTTACGTCTTCATCGAGCAAAGCGAAGTCTATACTTTCTATTGGCGGTAGTTTACCATATTCACCATTTTCTACCTTTTCTTCAAATTTTCGTAATAATGACTCTAATCGGGCCGAGTTGTACAAAATGAATGCAGCACCTGGACATTGAATTGGCAGTATAAAGGATTTTGTCATTCAAGGAAAGATCCTACAATTCTTTTTTTGTCGTTTTTACCTCTAGTGCTTCCTTTTCCGCTACGAATTATTTGTACGGGACTTGAATGACGAACTTCCATTAAATCAACCGTAACTGCAGCTGCTCCTAAGCGAGACATCAATGCACTAAAACTCTTATCATCTTTAATTCGAACACCATATTTATGCATTGCCATCAAACACATATCATTGGAACGACAGCTTGAAAACAAAACGAATAAAAGTTTTATTTAAAAAACGGTAATATATTTAATTAATACATGTTTGTACCTGAGGTACTCACTGGTTTTTAGTTTAGTTAATTTTCCGGTAATGGGATCAATAACTATACCACATCGTATGGTTGCGTAGCTAAGTCTACTAGGTGGTATGACAAATGGATTTACTGTGACTTTTCCAGCAGCACTCGCTACATTTAACATCAATACTTCGCCTATATTACCTTTCCTTGCTTCTTCGGCATATTCTTCTGTTACCACAGTCCATTGAGAGTACTCCAACACACGCAGTAATATATTTTCTACTAGTTTGGCTCGGCAAAATGATAGCTCCTCATGCTGCTGTTCGGCCAATTTCATACCACTGAGCCATACCTTTTGCTTGGGATTCTTTTTTAATTTACCATAGCATTCCTCATTTTTATCATTATTTAATACACGTTGAAGCAACATTAACATGACTGTATGTCTCTTAAGGTACAAAAAGCAGCGCTCATTATCAATTCGAATCCGGTCAATTGGTATTGCCCAGCGAGAGGCAATTTTTAAAAACTTTTGTCTTTCGTTGTTGCAAATGTCCTCCTCGACTTCCTTAAACATATCAAAAGCAGTTAAGCGCAATTTATGACCCGTCTCCTTACAACAGTTCTTCCATAAGTCTAAACTGCAAGGGAAACTGAAATCGCCTTTTACACTTAATTTTTCTTTATGAATTCGAATAAAATTGATTGCATTTTTGGGAACTTCAACACAAGGAAATAAGCTTGGCTTTTCTAGCAAATATAAGCACAAATTTTTGGAAATAACTGCTGTAGGATTTGTCATTTCTTCGTCCTAATAATATTTTGATTAAAATTTATTCACGTTTTATTTCGTGTTTTTTATATTTTTTTATTATTGATCTGTCAATTTCTCAATGGATATAAGGTGGGGTGGTGCAAAAACTAAGTTAGTCCAAAACAATAAATGAAGTAATTCTATGGATATTCGAATGAAAACATGATTAGTTCATCCAGTAAATCTTCATCTTAACTTATAAATTCTTGGTGGAATTGCTATGATACAAACTTCATCTAAATTGAATTGAAATATATTTAAGCAAATTATTTACATATCCATTCATGAGACGAAATTTATAAATTTCATCGAGCGTACAAGTCTTCATTCAACCGCTTTTAAAACATTCATCGAATTGCAAATGAAAACATTCTGCGATTAATCTAAATAATCTAAATTAATAAAAAGAAATTAAGATAAATGGTTAAATATCTGGTACAAAAATGTACAAAATAAAATAGAGCAGTGGCAGTTTTCCAAGTCAGCTGTATATTGGGCTTAAAGCAGCCGATTAGTTGGCTCTTGGATATGTTTATGCATTTACGACTATGGATTAGTAGGAAAATTCAAGTAAGTTATGATTTATTTTTAGTTTACTAACAATCAATTAAGTTCAGCTATACCTATTTAACACGACTTCACTATTATAACCCCAGTGCCTATTTTTTGAAGTATGGAACAGCCTTAAGGTTGAAAAAGGGTTCAAAAAAATTAGTAGTAACTTAGTCTTAAAATTAATTAGAAGTACCACAGCCGTACTTATGCAAAACAGCCCATTCTACTATCTTATTTGATAACACAGTTGCCATACCATAATTCCGTGGGCTAATCTAATTTCTATACCTTACCGCAGATAGCTGATTGTTGCACATTTACATTTTAGACCTGGTGAGGTTCATTAAGTATTTGTTATCTCCTTGGCTTTAACTAGATCTAATTCTATTTTTAGATAAAGTTGAAATCTAAATGGATAATAAGAAGTGGATTGAATTATTGCGATGCTCACAAAAATTTGTAGAATTATTTCTTTTGGTGGATGGTGATGAATTAGGAAATTTAAAAGGTGTCATTTAATTTCCATGGCACTGCCATGTGAACCTTCATATTTTTTATTTTTGAGAATCGTTATTCCATGGTGGTGTTCGTATTAATTTCTTCGTGACGAAACAATTTTTAAATGTTTTAACCACTGATAATTAAGAGAACATGCAATGAAATTCACGATGTCGTGTAAGACGCAACAGCTGTTTGTGGTTATGGTACAACTAGATGTGACATAATATGTAGTTATGGATGTGACTATATGTCGTATGGCACCTTTAGTTTAACCTTTAGCAGAGAAATTAGATACATGTTATTCTAAGTTCTCTTGCTTAATTCATTTTATGTCAGATTTATTTACTTTATCTTTTCTGTTTTGACGGAGTATATAAAAAGTTGTAAAAATTTTTTCGTACTGAATTTTGAATAAAAATCAAAAATGTCAACAGTAATTGATTTAAATTTGGTTTGCATAATTTGCCTACAAGACGATGGAGGCAAATTTATATCCGTGTTTGCAAAAAATGAATCAAAAATGCATCGGGCTGGATCAGATACAAAAGTTACCATTGCTGAGAAAATCGCAGAATGCTCAGAATTAAATTTGTCGGACATAAACATAAAGATTTCTAATAAAATATGTAATCGCTGCTTAAACGATCTATCTATCGCTTGGAGCTTTCGTAAAAATTGTGAAACTGCGAATTCACTCTTCAAGTCAATACAACAAGAAGAGGAAGATGTTATGTCAGTGGCTAACTCTGAAATTGAATGCGGGAATATAAAAAAACACTGCGGCTTACAAATGAAACTTGGTGATTCTGATAATGAGGCACAAAGTAATATTACTCAAGGAGGAGACGATCTCACCGACGACATTAACCAAAGCGACACAGAAAAATGTCAAGAGGAAATGGAATCTTTTTCAGGATACAGCATTGTCGAGTACATTGATGATGATGACCAAAAAGAATCGGAAGAGAATACGGAATATTTTAACTGCTTTAAGGAGGAAAGCCCAGAAAAAATTAACGAAACAGAAGGAAAGGATGTAGAGACAAAAGTGGAAATGTATGATTCCCGGTTTGAAACAGAAATAAAGCAAGAAATACTTGAAAAGGCAATTGACGAGGATAACTTAGAGAATGTTAGTTACGGGCAAGAAGAATTGTTTCTTACATTTAAGAAAGATATAAATGCTACCTCAGCAAATCCTAAACGTATCCGTGGGCGAGTGAGGCATGGATTAAATGAAAATAGTAACTTGGTGTTAAGAAATAAAGATAAAACCAGCATAGAAACTGAAAACAACTTTGGTCAAATAAGTCAAGCGACAAAAAAGAAAGTCGTCATTAAAAAAGTACCATCTACTTCAGAAAATAAAATAAATTGTGCTAAAAAAATATCCCATAGAAGCAAATCTTTTAATCCCTCACCTAAGATCTGTGAAATTTGTGGTAATATTTACAAATATCAACATGCCCTTAGTGCTCATATGCGTCGACATAATAATGACCGTCAATTTGGTTGTGAACTTTGCGAGAAGGCATTTGTATCGAACGTAGAGCTAAGACGTCATATGCGGGTACACACCGGGCAGAAACCATATCCATGTTCTTATTGCGAACGTCGTTTTTCTGATTTTGGATCACGAAGTAAACACGAACGAACCCACACTGGCGAGAGGCCATATCGTTGTACAACATGCAATAAATCTTTTGCATATCCTCACGTTTTGACCGTACATATACGAACGCACACAGGTGAAAAAAAATTCCAATGTAGTCGATGTGGAAGAGGATTTACGAAAAAAGCGTACCTTTCAGCTCACTTAGATAACCATTCCCGTTGCGAGAGTATATCATTAATTTCACGACTAAACGATGAAAGTTCGAACATAAGCCTTTCAAATCCCGAAACTGAAAGGATGATGCCGAAAGAAGTTATAGCTGTAAAAACCGTGTCTTTAGAGGAATGCATTTTCTCGACTGAATTAGCCAATGAAGAGAATGATATCGGACATTGTACTATGGAGCTTGAAGAAACTATCGACGAGGAACACTTGGATGAAGATCAAGAATACATTTTGGGGGCACGATCATAAATGTTATATCAAATTATAGCCGTATTTATTATACGCGCATATGTTTAAACACAAATTATTGTATGCAAAATCAAAAATAAAATGCGCATGTATATAAATACATACATACATATACACGTTTAAAAAAACGCATCGTATATAATATAAGTTATAAAATATTGCAGTTAATATAATCATTTATATACATATGTACATCTGTATTATATTTTATTGCTACATACGATATCCAGGAAAAGGAATTTTTTCTTTTTTTTATAACTAAATACCCATTGGTAAATTTGTACATAAATTGGGAAAATTCTGGGAGCTTCTGATCGGACCTGTGTCGTCAGGTTATGTATAAAAAAAAAAATATACAAAAAGAAAGTTTTTACTGTTCAACATATAGGTTTTATGATTAAGGTACTATTGAGTGAATAGTAATATAAGTAGTGTAAAAAAAAATTAAATTAAAAATTTTGTTTCCGTTAAATTTTCATTTCGAAAGATTATTTCATAATAACATTGAAAATAATTTTGTAAACAAAATCGTCAACAGCTGCGTAAATGTTTAATACTAAACTATAGTTTTCACAATATACTTATAGACTTTCATCACAATTACATTTTTTTTAGAAGTATTTCAACTTTCATACAGCAACTAAAACAACTGTGTAAATATACCTTTCAATAACGAATTGAGAATTAGTGCTCCAAAAGCAAGGTTCGAGCTAAATATGCCCTCTTTTCTTTAATGAACCGGTTCCTTTTAAAAGTTCAATGAACATAAAATGAGATTTTGCAAAGAATAGCGAGTGAATGTTCGCTTGTTACAGCATCAATTGTTAACGAAAGTGTGTTGTTGTTTAAATTTGTTAATATTACAATTTATTTCGTTTTATAGAATTCACACTACACTAATAGAGATAGTTTTACAATAAATCAATGAAACTTGATTAGATTGGTTTAAGTGAAAAATTATAAATTCTTATTTTTTTCCAATAAAATTTTTTCACAGCATGTAAGATATTTATGACTTTCAATAAATATTTCTATGAAAAGTTTGAACTAAGTCGTGACGGTATCTATCTTTTAGTCCTCAAATGTCATTCTTCCCGGCCCATGATTTTTCATATAGCGACGATAAGACTTGTACCGGGGATTTTCAGCCAATTTCTTTTTCATTTCTTCTTCTTGTTCTTCATGCCAAACTTCAAACTTCTCCTTTTTCCACAACTCTAACCGTAGGTAGTCCTCGACTTGATAATCTTCTAATGCATTAAATTGATTTTTGCCCATTTTCATGTAACGTCGAATCAAATAAAGTTGTTCCTCTCTGCCGTATGGTTGTTTCCTAATTGTAAAATTCCAAAACCACTTTGCATGCCAAATTAAAAAACGAAGTAAAGTGTAAGGACAAATTAGCAATTGTACCCAGAGTACATCCCATATTGTTGGTTTAGCGTAGCCACCTCTAACGTCCATTTTCTCTATGATTACTTGCCGAACAATGCGTTCTATTTCTTCACGTTGCTCAGACTTAGACATACGATTCTTTCCTTTGCGGTTACTTATTTTCTCTATATCTTCTTTTGCTATTTCCAATGCCTGATTTCGATATTTTGGTACGGCAGCCAAGTGTTTTATGGCATCATCATAACGCTGTAACCCCGAGTAGTATTGAATAATGGAAATAATTGTAAGTGTTGCAATTATAACGATGCGTACGTCAACTTTAGGCGCAACTCTTCGTCGATAGTAACGATAGTAATGCGAATAGTATTCCTCAGGATGATCCAACATGTAGTCGTAATCTCTACGTGACTCATCATCTCGTAGAATTTCGTAGGCGGTAGCAACCAATTTGAACTTTACCTCAGCCTCTGCTTTTGCTTCAGCACCGCGATGCATATCGGGATGATGTTTTCGTGCTAACGAACGGTACGCCTTGCCAATTTCGGCTTTGGTGGATTGGCGGTTTACACCCAAGACATCATAACAATCCTCCCTTCCGCAGTATATGCCATCCAACAATGCCAAACTTTCCGGCATCATGGCCAACATAATCACAAGGATGCATAAATATTGCGAAAAGTGCATCTTCAGCTCATAAGTTTTTTTAATTAAAAAATTTTTATTATAATTGACCTCAATAAACACCTGTGGCTGCGCACACCGCGAACTCTGCCACGTTCAAATTAAGTTTTTTCACGTTTTTTCACGTTCTTTGACTTACTGATGGAACGAATATAGCGCTATGAATGCTAGACTAAGCCATCTGAATATGTATATTTGAAGCACACCGCACTTCTAAAATGTGGCTTCGACAATAAAACAAATAATATTGTAATCTTCAAAATTCTCTGATATTATCTACAGAATGTTAAGCATTTAGCTCTCTCTTATAGCCACTTTCGGCAAAGACAACAACCAGAGAACGTAAATATATATATACGTTCTCTGCAACAACCGACAACAAAAGCGGTTTATTGTACACGTTTTCTAAATGTTTGTATGCATGCATTTGTATAGCAGCTGATAAAGGAAATTTTTTCGTACTGTACAAAACCTAAAGAAATGTCAAATTTTTACATTCTCTGCACTGAATCAGAGAACGTAAATACGTTACGTTACGTTCTCTGCACTGAATGCACGTGTGATATTTTTATTTACTGCCAAGATTTTATGTTAACTAAAGTTCATTTGAGTAAAGTAAAATGTCTTCTATAAAGAAAAAGCGTGTTTCGAAAAAGACCAAATCAGCTTGGAGGAAAACCGATATAAAAGATGTGGAAGAATTTTTAGAGGATCAACGACAAGAAGAGCGCGTTGGGTAAGTATTTCACATTTATGCTGCCATGATATTACACATTTATAATTATTTAATTCCAGTTCATTTGCGGAGAAAAAAGATGATGAGCTTTTTATGGTGGACGCAACACCTCTAAAATCAAAACAAATAATTTTAACTGAAAAACAAAGACGAAAGTTAAACGCTAAGAAGCCATTACGTTCTTTAGAGGCTTTAACAAATAATTCCAAGGTACAAGATCCAATTGTTAAAAGGTAATATAAAAACATATCTAAGGAATAAATAAAGTATTACTAAAATAAAATGCATTTTGAAAATCCCAGGAACCGCGTTCGACAAAAAAAAAGCGGTCGTATTATTGAAGAAGAGGTCCGCAATCCTACTAAACCTCGCCATTTCCAAGCAAACAAAGATAGGGAACGATATTATGAATCACTAGAAAAGAAACTTAAGAAAGGAGAACATCTTGCGAAATCGGCTAAGGACGTTTGGGCAGAAGAGGACTTTCGCGATAAAATACCGGGTTTAAAAGATGAAAAAGGCTGGATAAGCAAAGACTTAGCATTGTATGTATCAAAGAATATCGGCAAAGCAGTGATAAAAGTTCATGACAGTATACGACACCGTACTACAAAGGCAAAGTAGGTTAAAAGCTTGACGTATAACCACACGCACTTATTATTAATGATTTTGTAAATAATTCTAGAAAATTCGAAGCTCCCCATGGTGGTATGAGTTATAATCCATCATTGGAAGATCATCAAGCACTGCTTGCAGCAGTAGCGGACAAAGAAGAGAAGATCATTAAAGAGGAAAATCATTTGAAACGAGTTACTACTCAAATGTTTTCAAAAGTTACACCAGAAGAACGGGATAAACGTCTAATGGAAGAAATGCGCTCTGGTTTAGGCGAAGAAGATGATGGTAATGAGAAAGACGATGCAACACCTGATGGTGTATATAAATCAATTAATCCACCAGTTGAGAATAAGAAAAAAAGTAAACAGTCACGTCGGAAAGAATTGCAACAAAAAGAACTGCAAAAAAAGCAAGCAGAGAAAAAGGCCCTAAAAAAGCAAACTGCGGACCTAAATAGGTAAATCAAGTTTAATTAGCTTAAATTAATAGATATAAAATTGAACTGAAACTCTTTCTGAAGGATAAAGTCAATTAAAAACGAGGTGATAGCTGAAGAAGAACAACTTAACGATTTAAAAAAGCATCGCAAAAAGGTTGAATTGAAAAAGAAATTCGAAACAAAACGTTTGGGTCGTCTTAAGTATGCCGAGCCGGACACAGATATCAACATGCCCGAAGACATTGCTGGAAACCTGCGCAATGTAAAACCAGAATCAAGTTTGTTAGTCGATCGGTTTAAAAACTTCCAAAAGCGAAACATTTTACCTGTGAGCGTTGCAACAGGAAAGCAGAAATCAAAGAAGGTGAAACGTTTTCCCCGCAGCTCACACAAAGATCCTGGTGTTTCATTTCAAATGCTACGAGAGCAGCGTAAAGTGAAATCATAAGCACTTTTCCATTGCATCAAGCTATATGTTTATAGTTTCTAATTAAAAATTGGATAAAATTGAAAATAAATTTATTCTACAAAAAAATTTAAGAAAAAATAAAAATCCATAGCCACAGGTTATTTACAAAAATACTTATTATTGCGACTCAATTTGATTATGGCAGACAATATATTATTATGATGAGATAATTGGTCACAAATTATTTGGTATTACTGAGATCGCTTGTTTTAGCTTATTGCATTGCAATCGAATATTTGGAAGAATGAGTATTTACCACATTATGTTATTTACTGAATTTATAAAGCTACTCTCGTGATTCGATCCACTTGAAATGAATAGTTTATAGTTTTTATATAGAAAGCCGGCCTTTGATATGTATCACATCCCCAATTTCTTCCAGAATGTACTCATCCGAGTGTTCGTATCAAAAATACTCCGTACCATAAATACTTGAACAAGTCCCACACAAATCATAGCACATATTTGGAATAGTGACCATACATTTACTTTAGAGTAATTTGCTTCAGCTAAATTACGATCCCTTGCTTCATTAGAACGGAGCATATTTAAAATTTGGTGAGCTCTCGATATTTGCATATGTACTCGCCCAACATACTCCATAATTTCGCGCACTTGAATGTCGTACAATTCCTCAGGCGTTTTCGCTGTTGCAGTTTCATCCCAATTCTTATCAAAAGCCGATTCTCCTTGTTGCTCTATAATTAATTCGAAAAATACAGTCTTGCGATTAAACGAACTAAACGTGTTATCGAAACAGAAACGATAGTCTCCTTCTTTGCTCGCTTCATGACGATGTATATTCTCCGGTTTTTTATAGTCGCTAACTATAACTAATCCTATGGGATCGATCAATGAAAAGCTGATATCAAGATCCCCATGTCCGCCATCAATCACCTGATATTCTATATCTATAGTTTCGCCGTTCTGAACTGGTTGGTAGAAGCATTCATTTCTGCCCGCCTCGATATAAACCGTCATTTCTTTCTCGTAGGCATGCACAATGCTACAAACCGCTACGATACCCAGGACCTTCCACAGCTTAATACGCAACATTTTCTAAAAGGAAAAAACATAACAAAATTATAAAATTAAACGTCAAATTAATAATTACCATATACCGATTACATACAAAATAGTAATAATGAAAAGGCAATGAAATCTAAGACAACAGCTGATTATAATCAGGGTTGCAAATTTTTTCATTAAATTTTCAAAACGCGTATAAAACTCAAGCAAACCGATGTTCCATTTAAGAAATAATAATAATAAAAGTAATTGATATTGTTCAAAAATTAAAAAGAGCACGTCAATATCATCATAATATCAATAATTTTTGCTCTGTGGCCCCGTTATAATTACTTTTTTTGGTACCCAGTATTTAAAATTTAATTGCAGAAATAGTCGACATTTCACATCGATAAAATACTGACTTACAAATTCAGTTTTGTTGATCAACTCAACCAACACCTGCACGTAATTGAAATAAATTATAAACTCCATCACGCAAGATCCCGGTAATATCTGCTACATATGACTGCCGAAGATACTAATGAGCCTGAGAGCTATAACACGAATTATGAAGAATTTAATATACCAGACGCAGAAGAACTGGAAACATTATATGTGATGCTAGAGAAAGGAGCAATTCCAGAATTACAATGGAATTTCCCCGGTCGCCAGCAAATTAGTACAGAGTCGGCCGGAACTTCACCGAAAGAGGAATCTGCTACACCTACAAATATAGAAGAAGAGTATGTGTGAGTTATTAATGTGCCAATACTCAGTTATTAAATTGTTGTTTTCTTATAGACCGGTCGCTAAAAATGACTTTGATTTTAGCGACGATGTAACGCAACCACAAATGAGAGTTAGAAATCAAAACTCTACACCAAAATCAACTAAAAAGAAAGTAGCTAATTTTGCCGGCGTCATGGAGGTGCTGAAAAAGAAAAATGCAGAAGGATCTTCTTAAACAGCTTGAAGTAGAACTCCAAGGTCCAGTTGGCATAAAGTTCTTACGACGTTTGCATATTCGAAAAGATGATTATTATTTCTGAGTATAGTTTTTTCATAGAAGGTATTGCTATTTATAATCAAGTGGATGATAGCGATTTAGTAATTTTTTTTTCACTTTATGCATATAAATATATGAGGCAATTGGCGGTTTACCGCTGCTAAAGCAACAGCCGGTTCAGCTTCTTCTAAATCTTCTAATTGGTATTCTTCTTGATAACTTTTCTGCAATTGATAGGGAATTTCATTTTTCGACACCTCGGGTAACACCGAAACCTCGTTAAGATCTTCGACACAAATTATTCAATAATTAACGATTCGCAAGCTTAATGATTTCAAATATAGATGTAGTTTCTATTTTGCTGTGCAAGCGATTTGAAACCGAAACTTTTCTATTGGTTATCGAAAATTTGAAATGTAGTAAATATCTGCGCAGCTTAGAATTGGTTTGGGAACTTAGAGAGGCTCGAACTTTATCAAAGTCGAATGATGGATCATAATCCTTCATAATTCTCTACTTAAAATGGTATAAAAAATTGTCTTAAGTCAGTCTTTCGAATAACGGTTACTTGCCTTTTACTCATGTATAACTATATAGAATTATTTGGTTCTTAAAAATTTTCATTTTATTTGAAGTAAAATTCACAAAAGCTTAGATATGGCGTCCTTAAAAATAGGTATATAATAATTATAATTATGTATGAGTTATAAGTTCTCTGATTAATTTTTCTTAAATATTTATGTACACGTGTGTAAAAAGAACAAAGTCTAAAGAAATAAGACACAACATTGCAAGTTTTTACTACAATACAAAACTCAACATAATAAATAATTACATAACACACATTGTAGTTAGCCTAAATAACTATCTAAAAAGTTACAATTAACAGTACACAAATATACATGTTCGGCTACGCCGAAGTAGGGGTATTCCCTAAAAATACCGGAAAATATACTGCAGATGTATAAAGATGAGATTTCTCAGTTAAAAGTATGAAAAGGAAAAAAAAACATATTTTCTATATGGCCTATTTCACACTGACTGATTAATGCATGAAGAGTTTGGGAGAAAGGTACAAATAAGAGAATATATGTACGTATCGATGTCGCACACCCATATAACAGAATACAAATTTCACAAAAATATGATAAGCAAATGCTAATAATTATATGAATTCTAATATCACGCTTAGCACGTTTTGGGGCGTCAAAACTTATTATTTATGATTTGAATTTCATGAGAGAATGAAATCCTCTAAGTACTCAAACTGATTTATCCAAGTAATATTAATTACATTTGGAATATGTAGAAGGCCCAATATAATCTTTTAATTTTACATAACAAGAGCGTATCAGCATTGGACAAACTGAATTTATGTTGCTACTTATTTTTTCTTTGAAAATGCAATAGATCATTAATACATGTATGTATGTACATATTGTTTGATATAAATATAATAAGTCCACTATGATTCGTTCATTAAATTATTAAGCATTAACATACCATACCATTTTTTTAATAAATAGCAGGGTTTAAGTTATTTGTATCTCTCCAAATAAAAATGGATTTACGGAATTGAAAACGGATGTTTAACTCTTGTACTTAACTGCGCCTTTAGAAATAAATCCTAAATCCTAACAATTATATAATAACTTTCTGTAATTCTTCTTAGAGCTACTTCTCCAATTTATGGTACTCAGATCGATGGTTTTCTCAATGAATGGATGAATTTAGAGTTTATTCTAAGCCCCCTAAGAATGGCTGATGAATTTTTTTGAGAAGCTGTATGCCAGATATACACCCGGAGGGGCTGAGATTCTTTGCCGAAGGCCGAATGCATTTAAAAAAAATTAAATTTTTGTTTTCAATAAATTTTTTAAATATTGGATGTTGGGCTGGTCAAGGTTCGATATATGTATATGGTAGTACTCCTAATTCCCTGGCTAATACCATTTCAATATAATAAGTATTGGACCAACTGTGTACGATTTTTTTAAATATACAGCTAAACACGTTAAACTAAAAATATTGCATACTTATATCAGATCCAAAATTGACGTGCAGATAAATTTTCTTTTGAAACATATTTTCGTCGTGGGTATAGCATGTTTTTAAAAAGCGATGGTAAGTGAAATTTAAATTGACGAAAAATAGCCATTTCAAATGGTTTCTCCTTGTTCTTCCATAATTGACCGTATACTGACAAGCAGTTCAGCAAAGTTTGGCCGCATTCTTGGTTCTTCTCTCCAGCATTCTCTCATTAATTTGTCGTAAACTATTTGCGGACAACCTTCGGGTTTTTTCAGCCTAGAATGAGCAGAAAATATTTAACTTAGTCAACAAGTGTTTTGTATCATATTTTATGACAAATACCTTTTTCCACTTTGTAACTGGGATAGAAACTCATCTTTACTTAACTCCCTGTTGTCTATAAGATTTGGTTCTCCTCCACGAGAAAATGTCTCAAACATAGTTACGCCAAAAGACCATACATCCGTGTATACGGAGAATTTGTTATAAAGTATGGCTTCCGGCGAATACCATTTTATAGGGATGTCTCTCCTACTTTGCACAATGTAATATCCGTCCGAATTCGCAAATTGCGCCAAACCGAAATCAGATATTTTTAACCGATCTGACTCGATTAAAATGTTTCGCGTCGCCAAATCTCTGTGTATAATCTTTTTTTCAGCTAAATAATTCATACCCTATATTTTGAATGAAATAAAAATTTAAAGGCGCAGACTAAATGAACTTTGTTAGAGATTAGTGAAAAATGCATCTTCAGTTTGACTCAAAACAATGAAATGCTTCTTATAAGTGTGTTATTACTATTTCAAGTTGAATACTAAAAAAAAAAAAATTATTTTTGTCATAAATTTAAATTTTCAGAAGCTTTTGAATCAAATTTTGAAAAAATTGTCAACTATTTCACATACTAATTTAGTTTTAACGCATTTTTCATAACTCCGCTTTGTAGTATATTAATAGCAAACAAACCTTAGCAATGTCATGAGCATAGTGCAAAAGCATTCTGTTAGTTAAATCTTGCTTTTGAGCTATAAGAAAATCATTAAAGGAACCGCCAGACACATATTCCATTATAATGTAGAAAATTGGTTTCTCGACAAAACATTTGATTTTCACAACATTTTCGTGTTCGAGGCCCTGAAAAATTAATTAACAATTATTGTTATTAGTTGTGTTTTTTAGAAGGGAACTTTCTTAACCGTGTTGTGGATTTTTAGTACAAAAATTTAAGTGTATATATGTATATATAAATAAGATTATAGAACATTTACCGTCATTATTTTACTTTCACGAATGAAATCTTTTACATTCGCAGTCGTTTTTAGAGTTTTAACTGCTACTTTCTCGATAGGCTTATTTTTACAGTTTATTGTGCCTGAATACACAACGCCGTAATGACCTTCACCTAAACGTTTATCTACAATCACTTTTCCGTTTGGGAGTTGTATAACAACAGACATAATAACATCGTCAAATCGATTGTGATTTTGTGGAGATGATGGCGCTTCAGAGTAATTCAAAGACACATCGTCATCTTCATTATTTTCATTGTGGTCGTAAAAATCACTATCTGACTCATAAACCGGTAGCCTTTTCTCGAAATGTTGTAGTATTCCAAAGATATCTACGCAATCAAATCTCCGGTGAGCGTCGGTTTGCCAGCCGTCTAGCATGATGTGATAAATTTTGTCTGGGCAATCCTTGCTGGGTTGTGGTAATATGCCACCGTATCTTTGTGTTCGATTCGTTTGTAGCTTTTCACCCATCTCGTGTATATTTCCGCCACAACCAAGTTCCTCTAGCGGTGATTTGCCATATGCAAATATCTCCCATAGAGTGGTTGCAAAGGCCCATGCATCTACACAATTGTCCCCATGAACAGCATTGAGATTATTATAGTATTCCTGGGGAATCCATGGAAGGCTAAACCATAAAATAATAAATTAGGATCCCTTGTTCAACTAACTATCAACAACTAATAAGGAGGAAAATCTTACTCTTCGTAGGTATAAGGTCGGCGAAGTCCAGGATCACCAATTTTAGTCTGAATTTTGTTATTATTTGCATCGAATTTAGTTACGAACATGTTAGAACATCTTATAGAGCCATGATAAAATTTCTTTTCACGCTGTTGAAATAAAAAAAAGCAAATAAATAAATAAAATAAGAGAAATAAAATAATCATATATAAATTTTTTTATTAAACATTTTTTTACCAGATATCCGATTCCTCTGACCAAATCAAATGCTATATCGATAAGCATAGAGAAAGATATTTTATTTTTGTTTTTTCGGAGTAATTTATCAAGCGGTCCATAATGCGCGTACTCCATCGCCATAGTATAGGGTCGGGTCAATGTCACACCGTACAGCTTAAGAAATTGCGCAGAATAAATTTGATTGCAGAAGTGTGTCAGAGATGTGAAATCCTAGATAATGAATACGAATAATATAAAAAAGAAAATATACATATATGATCAAACAATTTGACAAATTAATTACCTTAAGGTCACTTTCTTCCGAAAATATCTTTAGCGTCACTTTCACATCCTTATAGGCAGGTTGCTGAACCCAATCTCCTTGCATTATGATAATCTTACCATTATCAGCTGAACGTTGTGTATCTAAATAAAAAAAATGTGTAGCAGCAATTATAACTCATAATAGGTCGCTTAAACTTACTTTCATACCAACGAAGGTCATTGCCCCTATCAAATATTTGAACTTTTCCTTTTTGAAGTACAGATTTACTTAGTTCTGTGTCAGCCTCCTTTGGATGTAAATTTTTTGGCAGACATATATGCAGAAGTGGTGCTTGTTCTATGAAATTAAGAAACAAACATTATTGAATCATATAATAAATCACTTAAAAGTTTTAATTACCATATTCGGATTGCGGAATGCAGAGCATTTCAGTCGAAATTGAATTCTTTAAATCCTTCAATGATTCATATTCCTTCAATCCCTCAGTTGAATGCAAAATCCATTTTTTGTTTTGAAATGTTATTTTGGTGGTTACTATGTTTCCAGCAAACCTACCTTTCACTGACCTAAACACATATGTACAATTCATATCAATTCTTTTCAAAATATATCCTGAAAATTTTAAACTTGCCTCTGTGTATTTATATCGACAAAATAAACATCATACTCTTTTTCACACTGCCTTATAATGCAAGTTGGCCGTTTCTCCGACATCTTACGCAATTTGTCAAAGGAATAAGCTCCACTGTTATATTAGAAAGAAATACGCATAAATCATTAAAAATAAATATATGTGAATTTGCGGATATTTATAAGTAACATACCCAATCGGACCGTGGCATTTTGTTTCTCTCAAAAATTTTAAAGACGGAGTTGGAAAATCGTTGCATATATCTTTAGACCATTTGCTAGTTAGCCTTTAAATATGAATATTAGATTAAATAATGTATACAATTCTAAGCATCTTATGGTATGTATGTTGTATGTACAAATACACAAATATTTGTTAAAAAAATATATTAGTAAGAGTAAGCAGACATAGTTATGAATTCTTTACCTTAAGTAACCTCCTATGTATGTAACAAACGATTCTAGTTCATATTTTGAACTAAATTGCATAAAATAGCTCCTTGGCAGTTCAATAATTTCCAGATAAGCCTCTACTTCGTTTTTGATATAAATTGCATAAATATCCTCCAGCTTTGCCAATAACGTCCACTGTGAAATAGTTTTTTTTTTTATAATTAAAGCGATTCACCAAATATACTAATAAATGTGGTCACAACAAATAACAACTGAACATATTATTATTTTTCTTAAGAAAATTTTTTCATTAAACAGTTTTGATGACAAGTTGAATTTATCTTTACAACAGATTCGCAAAGCATTGGACAATCACAATGGCCTATGTTTTATCCAAAAAATTTTTAGTTGTTCCAACTTGTTATTCGTTGTCCGACAGATATATATGCATAAATTTTCACTTACGTTGTCTTTTTTAAGAGAAATTTTTAATCCTGGCTCTGGGTGGTCATGAGTGTCTAATTTCGCATAAACTCTTTGAATTCCTGAATTATTACCCATTTTGCCTGTAGTTGCTTGCACCGAAATCGGATCATCATTTGGAATATATTCCACTGCGACAAAGTAGAATTCCATCAAATAATTAGGCGCCAGTTTACAAACTTCATCAATGTAATAAAACTTAAACTCGGTGAATCCAATTTTTTTGTCCCGTACACTTTTAAATGTTGCACGAATTTTCGATTTTACAAAGTATCTATGCTCTCTTAATAAGGTGTGTGGTAAATACTCCTTGTACTTATTTTCTATATTTTCTATAACTTCCCGCCTATAATTGCTAGCTAATCGCTCGCCTTCTGAACTTTTTGATTGTAAATCAATACACATATGCATAACAGCAAAGCCCATGACATTATCTTTTCGTTCGGGATGGCGTATTTCTGGAATTTTTTCGTGCAAGATGTCGTGTCGAATCTGCCAGTATAAGTATTCATAAGCCTGCTTGTCTAGATTTTTCAGCTGCGTGTCCATATTTGGCACCTTAAACCTCATACGAAAACAGTACCGTACACCAGGCCTTAATTCATGACCGGGAGCAGCCCATTCGTTACCAGAGTCCATAACACGTAATCCAAACAATAACCGGGTGGTCGGCAAAATTTTAAGTTGGCGACTTATACTCAAACAAATATCCTCACATAATGTCAAATTAGAAAATTCATTATCTATATTATCTTTGTAATTGAATATTTTAAGTAAAGTTTGAGTTGGCATAGTAGCACTGGATATATCGGTGTGATCGCTGTTACTGATACTACCATTACTATGAATTGAACTACGGCCGCCCATTGAAAATGAGGCGCTGTTAGTATCAAGCAATGTAATAGTCGTATTTGTCGTACCAGACGTGTTGGAAGCTTGATTCATAATCCACTGAGACACCTCCAATTTTTCTCCTAATAATCGTATCATTAAAAAGCATTTACTATATCTACATACAGATGTGTACACAATTTTTTTTAAATACTCGTTTCAATTCCTTTCCTTATATGCATTTTAATATTTTAGTTTTTGTGTTTATTTGCAAATTTATATAGTTCCCCCACACTTTAAACGTCAATATCCACATAAAATTTACAAATAATTTGATTGTAAATTGATACACTTTTATATATGTTTCCAAAATTCTTTGAGTTCTTATCTGCTTTTACGCCATTTTGAAAATGAACCAGTGTGCGATATTCCGGGTTCGATTGTGTAGTAAAATTTTAAATAGTATTACAAATGAAAAGTGAAGCAAATCATAAATTCTCCACTTTTTAATCAAAATTGTTTCCTAATACGGAACTGATTCTTAAATAGTTAGCAAACCATTGAAATTTTCAGCCTTTCGTAAGTTCAGATGTAAATTTCTGTTTGATTAAATTTAGATAAGTAACCATAAACTTCAATGATTTTACATAAATATGACTGATGTAATGTGAGATTAATAAACTGTTTGTTTACAGTAAACTAACTAGTAAATTGTGTTGTAGGTATGGGATTTCATATATATAACAATCTAGCGAGGAAACTGGAAGTACTTAGATATTAGTGTTTATTTAATTTTAATTTATTAAAATCGGCTTTGTCAAGAACGAATGCGTTATTTGACAGAAAATTCTTTGGCAATACCAAAAGAGTAGTCGTCGACAACTAAGAGCAAAAGTTGTCTAGTGGAAACCCAGTTTCTGCTTAAAACTATATATGCTTAAAACTAAATATAATAAAAACAAAAATAGTGAGATATCAGGGAAAGTTTAGACGTTGAATATGTTCGTATAAATCTTACGCTGTATAAAGTAGGGAAGTTAGTAATTTTTTACAATTTTTTTATGGGAAATAAAGTTCTAAATTTTCATAAATGCTCAGGTCTTAATGCACTGTTGGGATTTACAACAGGAAGTGGAAATGCTCAAATGCTCAAAAGTTCTGCTTTCTCAACGGTATATTTAGTGTGAAATTCGTATAACATATTTACTTTTTAAATATCATCCTTTTACAGATCCATTAAGTTTAATTCGGAACTATTTACTACTGTCAACAAAAACTGCAAAAAGATGAAGTTTTTGACTCAAAATGAAGCTATCAACGTTGATATGGAACTGTTTAATGAATATAAGTTTAGTGTTGACCAACTTATGGAACTGGCAGGGTTAAGTTGTGCCCACGCTATAGCGAAATGCTACCCTGTAGAACGCTTTAAGAGGGTTCTGATATGTTGTGGACCTGGAAACAATGGTGGAGACGGCTTAGTTTGTGGGCGACATTTATCTTTAATGCAGTATGAACCAAAAATCTATTATCCTAAACAGACTTCAAAAGAATTATATCAAAACCTAACACATCAGTGCAAGCTTAGTGGTATACAATTTCTTTCTACAAATCCTACTCTGGAGGCAACAAACGATTGTTACGATTTAATTATTGATGCACTATTTGGTTTTAGCTTTAAACCACCGATTAGAGAAACTTTTGTACCTATTATTGAGGTTTTGCAAAAAACGACAACACCCATAGCAAGGTAAACTGCAAATCTTAATAAAATTACTGAAATACTAATGCAAATGTCTTCGTACAGTATTGACATACCAAGCGGTTGGGATGTAGAAAAAGGTAAGATCGATGAGACTTATTTTGAACCGGAAATGTTAATATCCTTGACCGCACCAAAACTATGTGCCAGTTCCTTCAAAGGTAAATATCACTATTTGGGAGGACGTTTTGTTCCAAAGGCGCTACAAGAAAAATATCAACTAAACTTACCAGAGTATCCAAATTGTGACATGTGTTTGAAAATATAAACTAAAACTTTTACATACAATGAATAATTTGTTCATAAATAAAAATGATTTAAAATCAATCATGTATTTATATGAATTTACTACATTCATACATATATGTATTCAATTGGTTAATATTTAACAAATCTTTCATACAAAAACTTAATAATAATTCATTGAAAACTTTAAATATTCAAAGTTCAGGGTTCCTAGTAAAATGCCCTGGTAACACAAATAGCACATATTGCCTGTACCTGTACTGTTATCCTTCTTAAACCAATATTGTGTAACCTTCGCGGTATGCTTAGGATCATTATCCCGCAAAAAAGCCGAATTTAGTGGCATGGAGCCAAATACGAATGGCCATTTCATTCTTTCAAATGTCAAGATATTGATATTTTTCAATTTTTTCATTTTTTTTTTTTGCAAAATTGATCCTACTCCATGCCACGGAAATGCCCCAGAAATCATGATATTACCGCCTGTATGTTTTATGGTCTTTTTGGTGTACCTAAGACCTATTGGACCATGAACTGTGTTTTCCCCATCTCACCCGATTCTATTTTTTTATGTTGTTTGTTTTTTTTTTTTTTTAAATGCTGTTTTGAGAGGAGTGTCGTTTTGCGGGTAATGCGTCCAAAGAGCTGCGCCTCATTTAAACGCCTTCCGAAAGTGCTTCCATGTATATTCAAATTGAGTTCTTCGCTTATTTTATGCATTTTTTCTAAATGATTTAAGGATATAGTTTTCTCTTTCGAAATATGACACTGTCTTCAAAAATCGTTATCTTGCGCGGTGCTGGTGCCTTGAAATTTTTTGAGATAGGTAATATTAACTCTCTTGTACCAAGTAGTTAGCATCGCCTACTGACTTTTGGAAGGCTCGGAAATAAATGTGAATTTCGTCGCACAACATACCGCTGAAAACTGTTTCATTTTAGTTATACCTACATACGTATGTATGTATAAAAAAAAAATACATTGATATTATCATTTGCATTGTATTCAAAGAATGTAATTATTTTATATATGTCCTTATCACACATTTATTTATATACCCTGTTATAATGCTTTCTACGTCGATCTTCCTCAAAAGTATTATTCCTAGCCCATTCCTTGAGGTTACCCTTCGAACGTAACATAGCGGACTTTGAGTCAATATCCCGCATAACGAACGGGGACATGCCAGCTATGTAGTCTTCTTCTAAAGCATTGGTTTTCGTTTTTGCAACACGCGATGGCATCTGCCTCGGTATAGGTTGGTCCTCAAATAGTATTGGATTACGCGAATGCTTCCCCCCCTGGAATCTTGGTAAGCTTTGGTTTTTGTATTTGGTAGTTAGAGGTCTACGTGTATTTATATGAATCTAAAAAAAATATTGCTGTTAATTTTCGCTTGATGAGGTAAAACAAATGTATTACTTACAACCTGCTTGCCATTCTCATCTAAGCTAACAGCGACTCTTTTCAAAGTTTTATTGCCACAATTCGGACAAAAAACTTTTGTCATAATGCTTGTGGTTTTAAAACAAGCGTAACAACGTAGTATATAAGTGCGTAGGTGTTTAATTGCTCGTCCATCCAATGCACAAATTTGCAAATTCATTTGCTTTAAAGTATTCTGAATTGCATAATCCGTTGACATACATGCAACTACGGGCACTACATCCGACTCCACTTTACCTTCTAGTGATTTTTTCACCTTTTTAATGTTTGCTGGTGTAATCCAGCCTCCATCATTATCAGCACCATCATCGACTTGTTCTTCGTCTGGTTTGTCATCGTCATCACTGTTATCTGGATGTGTACCTCTGACATTTCTTTTTTGTGGCACAAGTATATCGCTAGCCTCACTATCATCCTCACTGCATTTTAATTTTTCAAACAGTTTATCTAATTCCTCTTGAGTTATTTCATCTTCATAAGTATAATCTTTTTCATGTTTGTTCGATATTTGTTGTTCAATTGCATTTTTAACAACGTCAATCGCTTGATCATTATTTTCGTTCGAAGAGTCGGCAATTATATCGTCCTCATTTTCACTAACATCTGTGCTTCTTGAATCATCATCACCTTCTGGGTTAAACCAACCAGCTAATTTAGAGTTATCTTGGAACTCCTCGGGTTTCTCTTTAGACGCTATTGTTTTTGACATCACAGGCTCCGTACGTAAGTGCTCGAAGCCTACATTATCTATCTCCAGCTCATATGTTAAGGAGATGACTTTAATGTCAATGCCGGAGAGACTAGCATAGTCACCAGTCTTTTTAGCGAACTCTACACAGTGTTTTATGCTTTCTGTACGAGGCTCGCGTATTTGTAAATCAAATGGTAATACACACAACCTTCGAATTTGACGTTTATTGCGCACTTCTTTAATAACATCGGGAACTGTTAAAACGTTTTGGGCATAGTCCTGTAAAGATCACCTGGCAGTTACAATATGTAGATTTCAAGAGCTTTATACTTACATTTAGCTGTACTGCGTTGATAAAGGCGGTAGTATCAGCCACTAAATATTCTATTTTGTTTCTTGGCTCAATCATGGTGTTTTATTATTATTTATTTCAATATTCTCACACACGTGGATACGATAGCGTTACTGCGTTAAAACTTATCAAAACAAAATAATGCGTGTCGACTTTTCTAATAGGGTGTGTTAAGTTTTATTAAGTTGCAAAATGACTAACTAACATATAGATATTTAGTTATGAGCTAGTTTGACAAAAAACAAAAACATGCTAAAAAAAATTATTATTTTTTTTACTTAATTACTTATTTAAAAGAAAGTTTACATAGTAGGAGAATATATTAAAGAATATAAAAACAATTAGCGATTTTGAGAGCCTAAACCTTAATATTATATACGACGTCAACGCAAAGCTATATGTTGGCCAAAGTGCTTCTTGTCTTTGAGATGACTTTAAGTAAAGCCATTATAAATTAAGGACAGTTATTTTATAAAAGGTTGTAAATTTTTAACCGAAAACAAATTAAAATATATACGGTCGGTATGAACAATAAGTATTAGACATTTTGGGTCGATATTCATGACTTAATAGAGAGTGCTGAAAATCGATTAAATAATCGTTACTAAATCTCTATAACAAGTAAAATTATCGGTATTTTATCATATTTAATTTTTTCGTGAAGAAAAATGGCGACTGTATTAAAAATAAATTGACAATTAAAAGGGCTTTTGCAATAAATTTCTTTTAAAATACTCAAGTATAGTGAGAAATATTGCTTTTACTTACAATACATCTCTTTATCGGGTTTATAAGCAATTTGGAATACACTGTTTAGGTGGAAAATAAATCCAATTTTATTGCATATCTAGCGTATCGAGAGAACTTAAACTTACCAAGCGTGTTAATAAAATGTGGAATCAATGGGCTGCAATTGCGGCACCTGCGCCAATGCCGCCTATTCCGGCTCCGCATTGTCCGCCACCCCAGCCACCACCACCTTCTGCTGCTCCGCCGCCACCATCAACGGCACCACCCCCGGCATCGACGGAGTCTGTATCAGTTGCAAATACATCTACACTACCAATTATAGGACCAATGTTACCATCATCTAGTGTGACTCCGGCTAGCGCTGTAGCACCGGCACCGGCACCAGCTAATACGCCTAATGGACCTTACGGGCAGTACACCGAAGCTCAGTACGCTGCTTTGACTCCCGAACAGCAGTATGCCTTGCAACAACACTGGCAACAATGGCAAGCTTATCAACAAGAATATGCTAAATGGCACGCCCAATATGGTGAACAGGTAAATAATTGAATTAAACAATTATGCGGTAAAAATGTTTTGAAATTTGTATCCTTAGTATAAAAGGGAAATGGCTGCTGCTGCCGCAACAGGACAACCTGGGAGTTTTAACAATTACTATCAGCAGACGCAGCCGCCGATGCAAGTGCAACCACCCCAACATGCAGCGCAAACCATGCCTGCAACAATAGCAACTGCACAACAGCCACCACCACCGCCGCCCCCTGAGGGGCAAGCTTCCAATACCAAAATTTCTGGAACTCCTCAAATCTATGCACAACCACCTGCTACGCACTCTAATCCTGTTCAAACTCAAGCAATGCCAATTACTCAAGTATCCCCATCCATACAACAGTTTACGGCTATACATCAGGCTCCTCCAGGTGTACCATTCACAAATAATAATTACCCACAATGGCAAAATCCCTATCCGCTGCAGCAACACCAGTTCAGTTACAATACACCGCCGCCAAATTTCGGCCAACAGCCCCCAAATTTTAGCCAACAGCCCCCAAATTTTAGCCAACAGCCTCCAAATTTCAGCCAACAGCCCCCAAATTTCGGTCAATTTCCAAATTTTCAACAACCGCCTCCAATAGCAGCCCAACAGCAACAAAACTCTCAGCCGCAACCAATGGCTACCGCACCACCATCTAAGCAGCAACAACCTCTTGGTATTCCTCCTTATGCTAATGCTAATCAACAAATTTCCGGTGGAAATAGTGTAAACAATAACACTTCCAATCAAGCCAATGTCGATGGCAATTTTGAACGGAATCGAAGTGAGCCTAGCAGCCAAGGTCCTAATTCTTGGGACTCTCAACCAAACCAGCAAGACAATGACTTCCGCAAAAGCCAAGCAGATAATAATGGTCAATGGAACGTCAATAATAATAGTACTAATTGGCCGGGAAACCAACGCGATCCAGGTAATGGTCCCAATAATTGGGATATGCCAAGGGAGGATAGTAATACTTCAAATGATTATAATAAAGTATCAAATGATGATAACATCAATGAACCATTTGAAGCCAACGCAAATAGTAGAGATGGTTTAGAAAATAAAAATAGGAACGCAATGAACCGATGGGGTGAAAATTCGAATAATGCAGATAACAGGAGTGACAATCGAAATGATAATTTCACCCAGGTTCGACAAATAGGCCCCATGGGACAAGAGCCCAATCAATGGGTTGCTAATAATCGCAACCAAGACAACATGAATAAACCTTGGAGAGGTGGAGAATATAGCTCTCAAGCATCATTCGGCAATAATGAAAGCAGAAATAATGACAATTTTAATGCTCTGAACAATCAAAGTGGAAATCGATGGGGCATTAGAAGCGGTCAGCGCGGAAATAATGATATATGTGAGAGAGATTCAATTCATAACCGCAATTTCAACAATGATTCCTTTGATAGAGGCAGAAATTTCGGTAGAAATAATTGTACGGAAAGTTCAAATAATAGTTCCAATCAAAGATTTGGTCAAAATGAAAGAAATTTTAGGGGCCATTTCAACCAACAACAAGAAGATAATGGTCCAAGAAATGAAATGCGTGATAATTCGAGAAACTCGTATGGAAATAATGAGTGGAACGTGGATTTAAATCACCAAGAAAATTTTTCTCAAAATAAAAATTCAAATATTCGACATAATAGTGGCGAACGAAAGTTCGGTGGGCGAAATAATTTTAACAGATGGTCAGAGAGCAATGATTCGATACAAAGTCCGTGTAGCAATTTTAACTCTGGCTCTGAGAGCACTGCTAGAAACAATAGTCCAAATAATCCATTTTCAACGAGAACTCGTTCAAATGATCGAAACTTTGGTTCGAGGAGAAATGACGACGGCTTTGGTTCAAATTATGTAAATCGCGGAAATGGGCGTAATAGTGGCCCGAATGACAGCAGTAATCGTAGATCTACTTCGATTGAGAAAAATGTTGGTTCAAACTCCTATAACAGACGTGGAGACTCGAATGAACGAAATTATATGCTAAATAATATAGACCGTAGATCCAACTCCCATGATCGAAATCTGGGTTCACATAATATTAATAGGGGATCTTACAATGATGAATCTAAGCAAAACTTCGAAGAAGCCTCTAATCAAAAAGTTACCGAATCCGTACCAGGTCGTTTTGGAACGGACCAAAAACTACAGCGATCTGATTTAGACGAAAAAAGTTTTGATCTTCAATTCCAACGCTGGGAGGAGCAATTTGAACAATGGAAGCATGTAAACGCGAATCATCCCGATCGCGAAATGTATCACCGCTATGAGCAGGAATTCGAAAAGCAACGACAACGTATAATGGAAAGGCGTGAACAAATGCGTCTGAGGAAATTACAACAAAAGGGCGAAAAAACTGATAACAGTTCGGATTCGCACCCTCTAGATACGGATGAGAGAGTCCTTAACGAGCCGAGTGTAAGAAATAGAGAGGAGGAAAACCTTAAAGACGACACAGAGAAAGATCATGCTGTTAAAGAAGAGGAGAGCTCAAATGAGCCATTGTCGCAAAAGGAGGATACAACGAAGGTGGAAGATGGCGTTGAAGCTGTTCAAGAATCTGAGGATCATGTGAGTGCTGAGGTAGAGGATACCAGTGGTGAAAAGCTAGAAACAGATAAAGGTTCAGTCGAGGGAAATATCCCTGAAACCGGAGCAGAGATATCTAAAATGGAGGAATCATGTGAAGTGGATAAAAAAATCAACCTGGGCAAGCGGAAAAGTCGCTTTAGTGCTCCCATAGAAAATCCCAAAATTTTTAAACCATCAGAACCCACTGTTACCGAAATAATTTCTCTTGTAGATGAAGATGATATAGCTGTTGAGTCTTCTGGGTCCATGTGCAATATCTTTGGCAAATCTAAGGGTATCCCAGGACTGGATTTAGTGGAAGGTTCCGACTCTGTTGGTGGAGATAACAAATCTATGGATTCCGTAGATAAATGCGATGATAATGAGTCTACGCAGCTTTCTTTGCCAAAAGAACATACGGAAAAGCCAAGAGAACAAACGGATAGGCCAAAATCAAGTGGTAAAATACCCTCACTTTTTGATGTTGTGGTAGAAAAGCCAATTGATTTTGATATGCGACCTACGAATTGCGATGTGGATAATGATGCCAACAATGATGGTGACGGCATTTGCAGTGATAATTCACGTGAAGAAGAAAAACTAATACATCCGAATATTTCTAACGCCATTCCTAATTTGGGCGAAGCTCTTAGGGACCCTGGTTTCATGCAGAAAATTTCTCAGGCATTGGCCAAGGCTCAGGGTAGAGAAAGTGCGGATCCTAGCTGTGCACCGCCTCCACAGTTTCTTGAGCAATTGCCCGCTTTACTTCAACAACTACAACAACAAAGATTGAATGTCGCTAACCTTGGTGGCAATGGCTCTAATATCGGTGGCAATGGTCCAAACTTTGGTGGATATGGTCCGAACTTTGGAGGAAATGGGAGCAACTTTGATGGAACTGGCCAAAACCACAACAGACATATCTTCGGCGGTAACCGGCCGAATTTTGACGGAAGCGGACCAAATTTCCGTGATAACGGTTCAAATTTTAGCGGAATGGGACCAAATTTCGGTTTTAATGGACCGAATAATAACAGTGGACCGAATTCTAACAGAAATTTACCCAATATCAACAGGTTTGGTTCTAATGGTCCAAATTTTGTCGGTGGTAACGGGCCAAATTTCCGTGGAGATGGCCCTAATTTTCGAGGTGATGGTCCAAACTTCAGAGGAAATGGTCCCAACTTCAGAGGCGATGGTTCTAATTTCAGAGGAGATGGTCCCAACTTCAGAAGCGATGGTCCTAACTTCTTCAGAGCAGATGGTCCCAACTTCAGAGGAGATGGTCCCAACTTCAGAGGAGATGGTCCCAACTTCAGAGGAGATGGTCCCAACTTCAGAGGAGATGGTCCCATGGTCCCAACTTCAGAGGAGATGGTCCCAACTTCAGAGGAGATGGTCCCAACTTCAGAGGAGATGGTCCCAACTTCAGGGGAGATGATGGTCCCAACTTCAGAGGAGATGGTCCCAACTTCAGAGGAGATGGTCCCAACTTCAGAGGAGATGGTCCCAACTTCAGAGGAGATGGTCCCAACTTCAGAGGAGATGGTCCCAACTTCAGAGGAGATGGTCCCAACTTCCGAGGAGATGGTTCCAACTTCAGAGGAGATGGTGCCAACTTCAGAGGTGACGACCCAAACTACAGGGGAGGTTGTGGACCTAACTTTGGCGGTGGTGGTGGGAATGGCCCGAATTTTAATAGGAATGATGAGCAACGTAATTTTGGCAGGAATAATAAGGACGTTCGCGACAAACAGAATTCACTCAGCCGTGGCAATGGCTCCGAGAATACCGATAAACAAGAAGGAAATGCTACAGGAACGGAAAACTCTAATTCTTCATGGGTTGACGGGTATGTCTAAAATTTACTAATTTATTACATATTATGCACATTTATATATGAATTTCCTTGTAAGCATATGAAAGAGATGTGAGACCCGAAAGAGTTCAATCACAAGCTTTAGACCACATGTGAGTTGCAAGTTTACCCAATATTGGCCAAGTTTTGTTTTCAAAACAATTTGAATTGAATGCTTGGAAATTCTTGTTCCAGGGTTCTCAATGTCGGGGAATTTAATTAGCCTATTCACAATCTTTTAGCACAATAATCCTCTGAATATACTTTTCAATTAAAAAAGAAAAACTTAAAAATATCTATTTAATATCTATATTTGACTCTGTGCGTACATACATACATATGTGCATATATCGACGATGCCCTAGCAAAAGTATTAATGCGTTTTCAGTTGCTTTCCTGCGGCTAAGGACCGGCACCCTTGGGCCGCCAGAAGCCACTACTGTGAGCATCGGCATGCAGTAACTGCAACTTTATTAAATTCCAAACGTCTTCAACGTCCCTCCCCTTTCTATTGCACGTTTGAGTTGGCGAGTTTCGATAATATAAGGTACTTAGGACCTTAATTTTTGTCAATTGCGCTGGAAAGTGGAAATAGATACATAATTCATTGCCCTGTCGACATCTGTCTTTTCTCCAGTAGTGAAGACAACGGAGCTTAGCATTGTATCAAGATAGTACCATCGAAGCAGTAACGTCATAATCATCCAAATAATTAGCTTTCTCTGATATAATTTTTCTTCATTATCGTCGGGGTCTAAAGAATTTGCAAATCGACATCCCTGGTATATAGGGAAAGATCATATTGAATAGCATGACCATTATGCAGTGTCAAAAACCCAGTGTTGAAACTCTGTTAACACATTCCAATATTCATTTTGTGAAGGCAGTTAAACTTAAACTCAGCAGACTAGAGCTCAACACACCCAAAGAGCCATAACACACGCCAAAAGTGGAAATGTGAGAGATAGTCAGTGTTAAAAAATTTATAAATAAATTTATAGATACCTATGTGCGTACATACATGCCATATCAAAGTACTGATGTATAGATATGCATAGAATAGTGCAGAGATAAGTGTACAAAATTCAAAAGTTTAATATGTAAAATCCACGAGAGGAAAGAACTTTTCTTGATTTTATTTAAAAAAAATTAAAGCAGTGAAAACCTTCGTCCAAAACAAACTACAAATGAAAAGTTATTGTATGTATGTATGTATGTATGTTTGTATGTATACAGCCTTTACCCTAATAGAGCCACAATATTTAAGCTATTTGTCGCATATATGAATAAAAATATTAGCAATCTTCCATAAGCGACTGAAATATCTTTAACTCTTTGATCCGAACCCTTTACCCTTGCGTTATAGGGAACGTAGGGTTTTAAATTTGAAAAAACCCGCGAAACCGAATATTTATTTCCTGCTAATTGCTTGGAATCTTAGCTTACTTTTTATATGTTCGAAAGTCATGTACACAACTCACCAACAAAAAAGCGGATTAGGTTTTGAAATTTAATATCAGCTATAAAAACTATTGTAATTCTTCAAAACCGAACACTGATACAAAAATACACCATAAAAAGGTTAATACTCAGCACAGTTGTATTTTGCGATAATAGAAAATTTGAGAGAAATTCATAAAAGCGTTACAGAGATTAGTACCTAAGGCAGTATCCTATAAAGACTTAGCTTGCATTTACCTGTCGCTTCATCTACGTCAACAAATTTTTGAATCGTCTATTCAAAGGCTTCAAATAAGGCAATGTATTCGTGCTTAAGGAGTTTACCAGTATTGGAACAGAAGGAAATGCCCTCAATGTATTCCATATTAATAGGAGTTTATTCCCACTTCAACAAGCAGTTATGTGTCTGTGGACGTCAAATGTATACGTCTCGGTTGATCATCTGTTTTTGTCCCAATTTAAATTGCCACACGTCTCAACTATTCCCAAACTTCTAATCTATTTTATACTGGTTTGGGCTGATGATGATTGGATTTGTATGTTAAAATATGAAGTAATTGTTATACTGTACAAATATAAATCGAAAATAATGTTTTTTTTTTCAGTGAAATTGTCATTGATTACATGATTACGTGCATACGTGTATGTATGTCATTAGTACAAATATTTGTATGTATGATATACTGAAAACTTTTATACTGCCAATTTCAATACACAAATTTACAAATTTGTCCGCCTTATAATTTAAGCCCCCATTGAAATGATCTAGAATATTTACATACATAAATATATACGTACATTCAGTGAAACTATCAACTGAAATGAATATTTACGTTAAAAATCCTAATTTGAGCGAGAGATTGTTGTTATTTAAAGACACAATTTTTTTCTTTTTAATATTTATTATTACTATAAATGAACAAATTCAAATTTTTTATGATATTTTAATGGAAAACGTATGTATATCTCGAACATTAACTTAGGGGGTTATAAGCGTTGCACGACTTCAACAAGTCTAATTTTTATACCTTTCACATTCATGAAATGGTTAATTTACTTTTGCCCATAGTATGTACGAGGTGTGACAATTAAGTAATGAGACAGATTCCATAGGAACCGTATACTTCAAAATTAGTCTATAACTGTGCCAGTCTTTTCAAAGTAGTATCACCATGCACTTTTACGATTTTAGCCGGTTCTACAACTTTCAAGACAGCCGGTTCAACGCACTGGACCTTTCGACGGCCTAACAACGTTTAGGCCAACAGGTAACACTAATTTAAGTTACAGTCAAGTCGTTGTCAAACCCAACGAGACGCGATGACCGGGTGGAAAATTCATTCGGGGATCGTGCCTCGTCGGACCCGAAGAGATGCGCGACCTATTTTAGCCGACTTTTTATACTGCATCCTTCGGTAGACAAAGCGAAGCGACGTATAACCCGCCGTATACGCAAACTTCCAAATACCGGCGCGGTGCTTGATTTCTCCAGGGAAGAGCCTCCAAATAAGCATGCTGATGCTAAAACATCTCGGACCTTCGGGAGCAGAACTTCTCACCTTGTCTTTGACCACCCTAATGATACCTAACGTGTGAAAAACAGTCAGGGTCAAGACGATAACTCTCCTCTCCCCAGTAGCGAAGACACTTGGGGCCTTGCTGCTCGTGATCTTCACTCACCATCCGCTTCCAGCAGCACATCAGCATGGCTTTCGAAAAGTGCACAGCACCACAACATCACTAAACCCCATAAACACTGAGATGGTCAATGTCCTTTACCAAAACCGACCCTGCGCGCGAACCGTCCTTATAACACAGTCAACCATTCAGTGCTATTAACGTGTATTGAGGAATCCTCATTACCGCCGGGGCTGCAAAGGGAGATCATGGGCTACCTGAGTGGTCGCCAATCATCGGTAATATTTCGTGATGAAACATCCTAACCCAGAAAAATTAAAAAAGGTGGTTCCGCAGAGTGGTGTCCTCTCCCCGCTACTGTAATTTTTATATCTCGAAACTCCCGCCTCCACCAGAAGGAGTTTCCCTAACCTCGTGTGCCGATGATTGCACGATAATGGCGTCTGGCCAGGATATTGATGACCTCTGTACAAAAGTGAATTGCGACCTTGCCGACCTCTCTCACTTCTTCACTGCACGATAATTGAAATTACAGCCGACTAAATCGCTGGCTACTCTCTTCACCAGCTGGGGTAAAGACAAAGAAACTTTGCTGGCAACTTACAAAGCAATTGACCGGCCGGTCGTAAACTATGCTGCACCGATCTGGACGCCGGGGACGAACGAGACGCAGATGAAGAAGCTACAGGCCTGCTAGAGCACCGCCCTAAGGCGACTAATGTCGCCGGAGCATCACTTGCACAGTGAGGCATCTAGCTGAACGTCATTCACTGGGAGTCAGTCCACACCTTCAAAGACTCTCTGCCAGTGAATGGCGTCCTCGGAGTAAAACCACCACCCATCGCAGACAACAAGCTCCTGCTGCCTCGAGAGACCTGGATACTGTAGCAAGTTAAACTTACTTATCCAGACTCGACCCCAGCATATCCAACGTATGCCCTGCATGTCGAGAGTCTCCGCTCGACACTAGCCACCTCTTCACATGCCCACTTAAACCGACTCATCTAACCCGTCCGTCTTTTTATACGCAACCTGGTGCCTCAGTTTTTAAGTTATTTCAACAAAACTTTTTACACTGATTCACGAGAATACTATTTTTTTTATAGTATATTATATATATTAGCAAATACCCATCTAATATTTCTTCAACCATGAATTCTTACATTGTAAAAAATTTAGCTTGACTTTTTCTCTTTTAAAAGGGGGTGTCAATCATAAACCGATTTTTTTTTGGTTTCAAGAGCATACAAGTTTATGATGCTATACAAGACGTGTGATAAAATTGTGAATTAAAAAAAAAATTATAAAATTTTGAATTCGATATAGTTTTAGTAAATGAATGTACATATGTATGTGTGTAATACCCTGCGTACCATTTCTCCATGTACCGTTTTCATTGTCTTTTAGGGCAATGTTGTTCATCCATTCACCCTCTTCGGTCTCACAAATCTGCATGCAGAATGTCTACATACCTATACACTTTCAATAGTTAAAAAAAAAAATAGTGTATAATCTCTCTTTGATAAAATGTTAATACTGGAATTTCTATTCCATTCCTTCTCTTTTCATTTCCCCTTCACCAAAAAACAAAACGTCTAAATAACGTACGTACGTGTAACGGTACGTAACTCGGCAATGTGAACAATCACAAAATGACAAATCGTGGTTCGGTTGGTTCATTATACAATACAATAAACCAAATACATTAGTGGTAGTAATAAGAAGCCGACTTTAAATAAAAAACAGAGGAGTTCCAAGTCTGGCAACCGCAATTAGAGCAGAATGTCTACATAATAAACTAATTCTAGATTAGAATTGTTCAAGTAGATTTAAGTTGTCATCCAATAATGATGGGTTTTTAGTGCTAAAGAAAATGAAAAAAAAAAAAAAATTAAAAAAAAAAACAATACATGTTCTCATATATACGAATTAAAATATATATGTATGACTTAGAGCGCTTGTCGAACCAAATCAGTTTCTCGTTTTAATTTATATTATTATTCCTTTTTTGGCGTTGTAATGTATCAAAGTCACCCAAATACAGTGAATTAATTGACATATACCCAATTTTGTTTTGCTGCTCGGCGCCGTGTTTGCACTGAAAATTGGCTGTGGTATAAATTCCTGAATTTGCGGCGACTTTTCATATACATATATACCCAATATGCAAATTGAATAAACAGTTAAAATTAATTGAATGATTTATTAACATTACCTTCTCGAATGCATAATACCTTGTTTAAAACTATGGAATAAAATTTGAATTTTGTCAATCTAAAAGCTTGAATTTATTTATAAATAACACATGGAGGGGCGGGTCTGATTACAAGGGCGGTGGTAGTAAACTTGCCAACTGTGCAGGTATAATATCAAAATTCTAAACTTTCGTTGTCTTAAAAAAATATCCTTTATATTTGTTGAAAAAGAAAAGAAATGGAGAAACGAATTTCTTGGCAATCCACAGAATTTCTTAAGCACTTGGGGTTGGGGTGGCATCTTATAAAAGTTAAATGGCTTTTCAGAAAGTTTTAGAATAGGCATTTGGATTATAGTTTGTTAGGTGAAATGATTAAAAAAAATTGAAATGATTAAAAAAAATTGAATGTATCTTAGCCGGATTGAATTTGAAAATAGCTGAACAGTATCTATTTAGTTTTGGTGCACAGTGTTGGTCAAAGGCAAAATTTTATAACCGAATATATATCGGATTATGTCCTGCATAAATTATTTTACTTTTTTAATTCACGTTTTATTTCCTCCTTTATACATTAGTTTTCAAAATGAACCATTTTAATTAGTACCAACTTTCTCCAAAATACCCACATTCAAATACCTAGTATAGTATCCATGGTATCCCAACTTAGCTCTTTGAAGTACATATGTATGCAAGTTTCAGAGGGAGAAGAGATATTCCCCTCAAAATATAGACCGATCAGAATGTGTAGTTGAGTTAATTTAGTCAGTTTGGTTGTACGCAAACTAGTTCCCCAGTCTTGAAAATATTTAAACCAAACTTGCTGCAGGTGTAATGAAACCGGTCATACCAAACTATTAGAGATATGCACGACCGATTTGTTCCGATATGAAATTTAGAGCCAAAAATCTGCCAAAAAGCAATTGCGTATTCTGAACACATATATGTAGAGCTCCCAATCTCTATTTTTTCAGATATGAAGCTTCCGTGAAAACTGCGGTGCCTGATTGTAAGAAATTTGGTATTATACATTTGTATCTAGAAATAAATATTGTCACCGTAAACGGTCGAAATCAGAGGACTATATTATATAGCATCCAAATAAACCGATTTGCTCAGAAATGATGATTTTGATCAAAAATCAATCAAAAAAGCATCTAAAATAAAATACCATAAAATTGACAATGTCATGAAAGGTATAAAGACCTCGACAATGGCGTTATTTCTTGTTGTAATTGAATTGAGGTTTCAAAAATTCTTATCATTCAGCATTCAGAGAGTTGTTGAAGAATAAGAAACTCTGAAATCACGGCTAGTGAAAATACACTAATACCTCGCTATGCGGCCTAGATAAGTGCCACGAAAATTGGCCGTAAAGCGGCAATTTTAATAAAAATTCATTCAAATCTCAATCAATGGGTTCTGTTCCAAAAATTTCAAAATGTATGATATTCTATAATTTAAAATGGAATTTATCCTTTTATTTTATCAAAATGAAATAAGGAATACATCACAAGTGCATTCATTTGTACTTAAAATAATAGTACAGCTCTTCAAAAATATTTTAATTGAAGACTTACCATCGGTTTCTATTATAAGTTCTTGAAAAGTTCTTATGACATCATCAGCAAAGCCTTAGTGCTTAAGTTATTGTCACGCAAATATTTTTTTGTTCAATGTTCAAAAATTGCCTTGGTCATCCAAGCTTTCTCCATCTATTTCATAATGGATTTTTATTTTTTCCTTTGAAAGGCCTTGGATTTTCGAGCACATATATCAAAAGAGGTTTTAGCTTAAAATCACCCGCGGCATTTGCACCGAGCAGCAGAGTGAGTCGCTCCTTAGACACCTTATAACCAGACATAGAATTTCGTATGTTAAAATCTACGTGCGACCAGTCATTCGCTTCCAATAAAGCCCTGTTTCGTCTACGTGAAATACTTTCTAAGGTTTATAACCACCTTTTAAGTTATCGGGATATACCTTAGGTGCGGACTCATCGGCGCTAGCGCTAGCACTAGCCCTTCATTTTCAAATTATGCAAATTAAATCTGTTTTTAAATTTTTCGAACCATCCTCGGCTTGCTTGAATTTTGAAATCTTCAATAGATTTATCCGGGTCTCCACTCTTTATATTTTGGAAAATCCTTAAAGCTTTTTCCTGAATACTTATTTGACTTATTAACATTCTCCGTTTGTTATTGCCCTAAATTCATTTGATCAAGAGTTTTTTTCATTTTTTCCATAGTCCAATTTCTTTGGGGTGTTAATCTTGAGACATTTAAAAGTGCTCCAGATTGCAAATATGTTTTTATTTCGTATTTTTTATCGCGGATAGTTTGAATGGTAGATTTCAAAAGTCCCATTGTTTTGCAAATTTCAACAATTGTCTCTCCAGCTTCTATAAGGCGGAATACTTCAAATTTAGTTGCCAGCGCGACTGAGTTTGAGTTTCAGCTTTATTTTTATCAGTCTTTCGGGGGCAAGATTTTGGCGCTATAACTGAAGAGGGCCGTTATAGGGAAAGACCGTATAAAGAGCGGCCGTATAGCGAGGTATGAGTGTATTCCCAATCTTTATCTTATTGCCTGATACGTTTCAACGCAAAAGTGGGTTTTCTCCAAGTTTCCTCGAAATTTTTTTAACCCCTAATCTTTCCATTTAATGCAATCCTTCTAATAAATATGACTTTAATTGCTTATTTAGTTACTGAATTATCACGGGTTTTCGTGCACCTTATCAACTCGTCAAAATATCCTAACCGCGCATCGGTGGTGATGACATTACTTTTTGTCTGTATAATCGCAATTACATATTGAATTTTGTTCCTAAATCTTTGATTGGTCGTATTTTATATTCAGCCAAAGTGCGGATAACGACGTTTGAATGTGGAGAATTATTATATATGTACATATATAAAACACCTTTTTTCCTCCGATATGTGAATATTAATGTGTTCCTACAAATAAGGAGAACTACAGTTTTATGCAGCCTCCGGATGTCTGATGGAATTTTAAGATAAGCTTCAATATTTTTAGCCGACGAAAAAGAAGGTTCTCTACTCGACGTGTATTGCCTCTCTTAACCCAATGCCACGTAGTCCGATTTTCCTTTATGAGATAGTGTAAATTGCTGTGAATATTGCTACGAAAAAGTTGTAATAAATTCAATATGTTGTAATTAGTAGATTAGGGTCACAAAAACAGTGAAAGAAAAGCTTACAAAAATGAAATCGCCGTAAAAATAATAAGCAAAAAATAATACTTTTTTTTTTATTTAGCCTTAATAAATAAATTCTTAAAATAATGTAATGTTATAAAGAAAAAAAAAATATATCAAATAGCTGATTTTTTTATTTTGCTGCAGCCCTCAGAGCGTGCGCTGAAACGAAACAATGAAAACTTCAAACGCGTTTTTCTCAAAATCACATTTTCAGACAGGGGGGACGGATTATTCGGACCCTATTGCATCGATTTATCTGAAATTTTAATGGTAGCTTCACAAGAACATAGCCGGTTTTCGAACAAATGTAAACTTTTGTTTTAATAATTTAGTGCGTGTTTAAAAAAAGTGCGCCGCTTTCACAAAAATTGTAATTTTTGTATACTTCAATATATGTTCAATGAAATGGTTAAATAGAAATTCTATTCCTTTTTCCTTTTTCGGCAGGAATGTCAATTTCTCCGAGTGTATTTATGGTATGAAATAAATATCCTCATAAAAAACCCATCAGCCGTTCGGAGGCGGCTTAGTATAAACTGTAGGTCCCTCGATTTCAGGATACAAAGCGCGAATTATACATATATATTCCTTTTCCCATATTCCTACAATAAATTGAAAAAAATGAGTCTATCTTTCAACCTCTAGAGTGCCCTAACCCCTCAACCAAAATCCAATCAACTTATATGTGTAAGATGATCCCGTTCAATTTGAAGAATGCACTCATACCCCAATTTTAATAATAAGAAATCCATCAGCCGTTCGTGGAATGCTTTGAGTAATCGTTCCACTGTGTTGTTGGAACGTTAAAAATCAAAACAACAAAATGTCCCGTTCCGAAATATTTTAGAACGCAGCGAAAACGTCGATTTTGACTCCCACAATGAATAGACAATTTTATATCGAAAATAGCGGCGTTTGGTTCAACCAAAGCCAGTGTTAACGGCTGACCTATGCTTGTATGATTTATAAAGCTGAATAGATAAACGCGGAGCTGGAACGCTAATGAATTGAAATTGTTGAATTATCGTTGAGTAAATCTCTTGATTTGAAGGCAATTTGATTCATATATAGCTTTAAACTGGCAGTCTGTATTTTAGTTCGTGTGCTTAAAACGTTCAAGTTATCTCATGACAAAAACAAAGAAAAAAAATTGTAAAAGGTTTTTCCAGTTAAGATGGAAATGACTTTAGTGTTTGCAAGTCTAATGATTTTTAAATTTTAAAAATATGAAATTAATCGAAACAGCCCTGGTAATAGCCGAAATTATGGAGATGACTACTTTCGCCCTGTACAAGTGATTGATTATGAAAATAGCGCCGTTCCGAAACCGAAGGTAATCGATTACGGACACAAAGGAGCTAACGCTGCATCTGCTACTAGTTGCGCTGATAATGGTCTCCCGAATTCTTTCAATTTGACTGTATCTAATTTTTCGGATGAATTCAAACCCTTTAAAACTATCGAATATGGACATGCGTCCAATCCGACAGTCAATAGATTTGGCAATATTTCTATGAAAGGCAATTCCAAGAGAAAAAATAAGAAAAAGAAGAAAAAGAATACTTCGGCTCAGCAGAATGTAGCAGAGCAACAAACGGAGGGCGCACAAGGAGTGCAAGCCAATGGAAAACAGCAGCAACAAGCAGTAATTGAGTCAGAGAACAAGGTAATAAACGAGTAGAATTCTTAACTTTTTTTCACATTGTATTTGGACGAAAAACACATAGAAAAATATATACAAAGAAAATGTCCGAAAGAAAATTTCGTTAAAGTAAACGATCAATCCTTAACAGAATGAGAACGAGGATACACAGGAATCGATTACGAATCCAAGTGAAACAAATAATTCTAATATGAGTTCCTCGAACGGAGCTAATGAAGAACTTGAACAAATATCTGATAATGAAGAGTAAGTCAGTTACTGAAATAGATCGAACCAAATTAGAGCGCAGCCAGTTATTTGTTGCGTAAATCGCTCTTGCGAAAATAATTTTTTGAAACAAATTTGAATGGTTCAGCTGCACAAATGATTGGCGCTTAATATTTGATTCGAAAAATACACAATTTTTTTTTTTTTATTTATGAAGATGGTTTGAGCTTTCATTTCATATTGCAGCAATTTCGAAATCAGTCGTGATTGTGAATCACCAGCACCACAACCTCCACCACCACCAATGCTCAATACGAAATCACAATATTTGTGTACCGTGCAGCAGGATGCCACTGAGCCGACTCAATCCATTTTTCCATCGACCGCAGCTGCTAACGAACACATTCCTAAAATTGCTAGTGAACATGTGCAAATGTCTTTCCCCAGTATTGAAAATAAGAACACCATAACCGTCGATGAGATCCTACTGAAGCCGGGGCGTCTGACGCGTCCGAAAAAGGTTTGTGTTATATTGCGTGGACCACCCGGCAGTGGCAAGTCACATGTCGCCAAGTTGATTAAAGAAAAAGAATTAGAAATGGGTGGTGGAAATCCACGCATTTTAAGTATCGATGATTATTTCCTCATTGAAAACGATTATGAGGAACGCTGTCCAAAAACTGGCAAAAAGGTGAGCTTCAAGCAGACAGTAAATCGAAATTTTAATGTATTTCATTCATTTCGTGTTATCATTGAATAAACTTTAGCTTAATTATATTATCGAAAGATATAATTTTTGGATTTTCTTTAACTATTTAGATACCGAAAAAAGAAGTTCTTTACGAATTTGACGCTGAAATGGAAGATAAATACATGCAATATTTGATAAAGTCATTTAAAAAAACTATTTCAGATAATTTATACGATTTTATTATAGTCGATTGCAATAACAATTCGTTGCGTTCATTAAATGAGTTTTATTGTCACTCGAAAGACTCGGGCTTTATGGTAAGCATTTTGCGTGTAACAGATGGAAAATTGTGTTGGGATAATGAAATGCTAATGAAATTTATATATTATGCTCTTTTATTTGTTTTTCTACATTTGTTTTCATTAGCCGTATATAGTAGATTTGATTTGCGACTTGGAGACTTGTCTGAATCGCAATATTCATGAACGATCTGAGAAAGATATTAATGCGATAATTGGTTCATGGAAGCACACACCGCTCCATTACATTAAACTGGACGTATCATCGTTACTGGAAAATCTGGTGGAAATGGAGGATGCCGAGGACATGGTGATGGTAAATTGTTTTCTATTATAACTAATTGAGCCACAACATATTTATACTTTTTAAATATTTTATTTTTTAATAACAAGCATTCGGTTTCAAATGGGTTTAAATATTGCTTTAGCGAAACCGAGTCAATAAAATTTTAACACACTGTTATTATTATGTAAAAAATATGTTTCCGCTAATAAGCTTAAATACATTTATATACACATTTATCGCTAAATGCAAAATAGATAATCTGTCCCTTTATTATATCTGACCCTTCCATGTACAATATATCTGCAAATGAAATGTTCAAAACTGATTATATTATCACTATTATGTACTAAAGTTTAATATACCAACCCTTCGAACATCCAGAAACAGAGGCTGATTGGCTGATGTATGCACTTATCTCGAAACTCGTCGTATTCTCCACATAATGAGAGAGTCTGTAAAAATGTTATGCATACTTCTTAAATTTATATTTAAACCAAATTTCCCCCAAAAATGTGATACTCACTAAAAAGTTGTTAAAAAAGTTAGTTGAAGGATGCTCGATTTCAACAGCAGTTTAAATGTAATTTATTTTGGTTTTGTCAATTTTTCAATATAATTAAAAAAAATCACAATAGTTTTTCATTTGAACTGCTGTAATAAGTTTGTTGGCTGTAGTAAAGAGTGTTTTTTTTAGGTGCGTGGTTTTAATGAAGAAATAAAAGCACATCATTTTACGTTATCTCCAAGAATTTAGCTTCATTATGAAGAAGGCCTGCCATTGTGTTTTAAAAATGATTTCGGGCAGGTGACCGCCGCGGCCCAATTTTCGACCACATTTTGCGACCTCAAATGTGTAAGCGTCGAATATTCTCTTCCAAACCGTCAATCGTCTCGGACTTCGCATAACCTCAGAAAATATCAGGCCTGCGACGAGCGATAATGGGCTCACCAAAAGTTTCCTTGCCAAACAGTGATTTTTTGAGGATATAACGGCGTCTCAACAATGGCTTGTGGATATCATCACTCTAAACGCGACAATTTTTCTTTCCTTTCAAATTTCTTGTGAAATTCGGCATGGTAGGCCATCTCAATTTGGTTCCATTCACCGAACGTTCAACGCGTTTGATGGTCGCGACGCAGACCAAGATTCTTATGCAAAACGATAAATCAAGTAACAGCTGACACAAGACTCTGAACGAAGAATCATTGAAATCTAAAAAATCGTGTCAATTTTATAAATTTTATAACAATAACAACTAATAATCTTTACTTAAAGGCCAATAAGTTGATAAAAACTTTAGGGTTTATCACGAATTTAATGCGAAAAGTTCGATACAAAGTTAATTAATTTAGTAAATTTTGAACTTTCGACGCTTTAATATTTGATGTTATCAAATTTTTGCATGTTCTTCGTACTTCGTTCATTTTCTCAGTGAAAGAAATATTCTGTATGATCATTCAATAACAATGAGAAGTGAAAATAAAGTGCATTTATATATATATAGTATAAAATATACCTAAATTATTATTAAGAAATAAATGTTAAAGTGATCATTTCTCCAGAACAAAATTGCACGAGTAAATGAGTAAAGACCCTATTATTAATCGAACGATGTTCGTCTTATTTTCATTTCTTATCGTTATAGTCCATGATATTATTATAAATAATAACATACTTATAAAAATAAGACGTAAATATAATATATGTGTGCACATATCATTAATTTAGCTACACCAGAAAATTAATATTGAAACTGCCTACAATTTGTTTTAAGCCGGACCTCCCGAATAAGTTACAATCTGTAATGCCTAGCAGCCAATTGTCTTAAAATGAATTAAACCCAAAAGAATTTTAAAAAATATCTTGTGCTTATTATGTTTATAAGTACTTATTACTTGAGAATAATATTCTTGACTTCTTGTTCTGGATAATTAAACACCATTTTTCACGAACAAGCGAAATGTTATAGAACCAACGTAAAATTTGCATTAAATTTTGTATTTAGACTAGTGAATAATTTGTCCTGAATACAACTTTGTAAGAATTGTTTTTATATTTCTAAAAATAAAAATTTCCACAACTTGATGAATTATACTATGTACAACAATTGATTTAAGGTATCCGAACTAAACGCATTTAGAAGAAAAACCTTGAATTGCGTTATTTCATTGCTTGTGAATGTTTTCATTGCAGGATAATAACAGCGATAGTGTTGGAGCGCCCGATGATAGTAATTTAATGCAGTCGTCGCAAGGTGAAAATGAAACTGAAGACAGTAATGAGGCTGCTGAAGATACAGCAAGTGTAAGTTCAGAATCAGCGCCTTGATTCAAAAATATTTAAAACATATAACTTTCGAATTGATCTTTGCATTTTATTTTGAAAAAAGATTTTATTACCATCTCATTTTCAACAGTACCCGACGACGAATATTTCACACAAAATATTTTTTGATTATAAAGTACAATCGTTGTCTAGTATGTCTTACCATTTTAATAGATAAATAGAAGACTTTGAAGACTTTTTTTCTGTCTCTTTCGTGCTTGTCGCTTAGTGAAGTTAAATATTGTTTTGAAGAATTGGGTACTGAATATTATATGTGTTTTTGTTTTAAACATTAATTTACCATGTTAATATGTACTACATATATATGTAAATACAAATATTTTTAAAATAGTTCGGATTCTTAAAGAGCAAATGGGAAAATGATACCACATCCGAGAACCTTGGTAAGTATATATATAAAAGTCTACAAATCAATGAAAATAAGTAAAAAAAAGAACGTATTCAACTGATTGTTTTAAATTATTTAAAGCAGAGACCGAAAATTACTGGTCCACATTATATTCAATGCTTTTTGTTTGTTGTCTATTAATTTTAATTAGAGTAGGGCTTGACCGACAATCACTTTAGCGGTTATAAAGCGCCAATTAATTAATTGATGAAAATTGAACGAATATACCTGAAACCATAGAAAAATTTACTAAAATAGCAAAACGATTATATTCGGTCTCGGCTTAAAAGTATGAAATTTTGATGTTAACTGAAAATTGTTAAATTAATTGAACACAAATGGAATATTTGCAATCAAAATGTGTTCAGTTGTGTCAGTTTAATATATAATATAAAACGTTTTTTACCAGATAATTTTATAGTAACAAAATCTCTGTTATGTTATAATTTTATTAAGTGGTAAAAAGTGTCGAAAAGTTATGTGATAACTTATTTTTAATATTTTTTTAATAATTGTAACCATATATTCTAATATAGCTCGCTTGGACGGCACTAATAAACTGATGCATAAGCGCAAAGCAGCTACTATGGAGGATTACCTGCAAATGGATGATTGGGAACCACCTAAGGCCAATACAAATGGAAAGAAACGGGTAAATATTTAACAAAACGAGTGTAAATATTTAGTATATAAAAATTATATTTTTTTGTCGCAGGTGCGCTGGGCAGATATCGAAGAGAAGCGTACACAGGAGAAAATGCGCGCAATCGGCTTTGTTGTAGGCCAAACTGATTGGAAGCGTATGATGGATCCGAATGCTGGAAATCGTGCTTTGAATAAAACCAAATACATTGAACGTGTCAATAAAAGACGATAGTTTGGACATTCCCTATACGTTTATTATACTCATTGTTTCAAATATCTTCAAATATGTATACCACATTCTTAATAACTATTTCATTGGGTTTTATTATAACTTATTATAACTTTAGATTATGAGCTATACAATGCAAGTAAACAAAGATGCTAGTAATATCACTTATGGTAATAAATGTAGCTAAGATTATTAAGATGATTCACAATAAATACTTGCGGATACAATTTTATGTATATGCTATTTGTTTTCATATATATGAACCGAAATTCCATTGAAAAAAGTAAGTATTTGCATAGCAACAAATACCAATAATAGCACGACATGGATTAGTAAAGGGAATTCTCGGGAAGAATTTTATTGTTGAGAGAACGAATCGGTGGAATGCATATAATGCGCGATACAAAAATACCTGGTGAAGGTGCCAAGTTGATTAAAATTGACAATTTAGTTAGGTCAAATAAGATTTTTAATGACTCTCTGGTATATATCAATAGCCATATCACTTTCTCCAAAAACCGCTTATCTAATCAGAGCCGAGCTAACAACAGCGCGCCATTCATTCCTTGTTTTCGCTGTTTGAATCCAGTTGAAAATACCCAGCGTAATTAGGTTCTTCTCCACCTAATCTTTCCAATAGAGTGGAATTCAGCATCTTCTTCCACCGGCGAGTTCTGCAACAAAAGTTATCAAAACTGCAGTCTTCTCTTCCATTCGCTGAGCACTATGTCAATGTCGTCTTATATTAAATTACAGCCCATCGTTCCATGGACTGCGGTACTCGATATCTGTTTGCGGCTTCTCATTCCTGCTTTTTTTGAGCGGTGGCGATTGGAGACCGTCTGATTCCGCAGAACATTTGAATATACAAATGTCAGGCATCCAAAATTAATTAACTAGTGCTAGACTAGTCATGTCATAGGTTTTGCGGTAAACGTATTTCTAGACAGTATTCTAGTATCTCTAATTGACGGCAGCATCAAAGGAATGGCACGCGCGATTCGAAATAGAAGAAAAATTCGTTAGGCGTGCTTATGGAGTCGAAAGCTGCATTTTACGCTAATGTGCAAGCAAATACTACAGTCGCAGTACCCAAATCGGAACAACAAAACATATACAAAAATTTATTCGACGAGAAATATATATTTTTTACCGCCACAAATCGGAATATTGCATTTATGAGGCCTATCCAGAAGATTAGTATGTATAATAATAATAATTAATTCTGAAATGTCGACGCGACAAAACGTTTCGTAAACATCCACGTTTAGAATGGAAATCCTCCGTTCGAGATATATAACGATGTGAGGAGGGCGATTCAAAACAAAAAGAGAGGCATGCTGACAGAAAAAGTCTGCTGACAGCACGACGATTCCAGAGCATACACGGCTGGAGCACGCAGCCAACGCCACGAACAAACTGTTCGCTTAGTTTAAATGGGATGTCCTGACGTCCATCCGGCGTATTGCCCTGATCTGAGACCTTCAGATATTACCTCGTTCAAGCTTCATAAGGATAAAAAAAGGGTTTTGGAAAAGGAAAGGAAAAGGAAAAGGGTTTACCGAGGAGGTAAAAGGAGGCCAGGAAGTGGTTGGCGGAAAAATGATTCGTGGAAGTAATCCAAAAATATGCACTCCGCTTCACCGCCTGCACTCAGAGGAATGTTGATATGTCGAAAAATAGCTTGCATGTTAATGTAAATAACCGAATGAGAGTCCAAATGACTGAATTAGCATAGTAGTATAGTCTTATAATCTCTCAAAGCCACACTGAGAAATTTTCATTAAATTATATGTAATTGCGTTAACTCAGTTGCTTGACGTGCTATTTCAAAGAAATTTTTGCGATGCCTCGAACAGAAAGCAACTCCCGTAAGAAGGTGGAGGAAAAGGTTAAAAGTGTGGGACTTTGTAACTTACTTGATTATAATTAGAGCTAATCTGGCAGTAGATAAATACTACGTTTTTCACTGGTCCCTAAATTCTCACCCTAATAATACAATAATAATAATGACGTTGGAATGAAGCTGAACTTTGTGTTGAGAATATTAGAAGTGACAAAATGTCAAAAAATATTCGCAATTTGTAAACAAGATGAAGTAACCAAAAATTTCACCGCTAACATGCGTCTACAAAAGGATAAACACGACCCCCCGCAGCAAGCGCCAATGTCTGAGAAGACCGTTGAACGTTGACCGAAACGAAGAGCGGCTAAACGTTGACTTAAATTCGCCACACTGAGAGGCAACCATTTCAGTCGAGTGCAAATCGCCAAATGCTTCGGTTGAACTCTACTCGGCGGCTGCAGTGACAGTCAAATGTATCGAAAACGAACCGCCTCGTTGGGGTTGTGCACACAATAAGTAACAACAATAATATATAATTTAAAAATGAGAAAAGAATAAGTGTAGCAGTGACCGATTATCGCCTGAAAAATACAAAGCAACGCCTAAAATTATACAATAAAATTTTCTGTAGCCATAAAAACGAAATGGCTTAACTAAATATAATAGCATAAAACAGAATTTATTCTTAAAAAAAACAGCAAAACAGGCATCTGAACGGAATGTGTCCAAGCCCAAATTGGTGTATAAAACAACAGTGAAGGATCTTAATAAAGCAGACCAATTTGTATATGTTCTACGTAATATTCTACAATAAATTGCCAAGTGCACATCTCGAATGTGAAAGGATAATGTGGAAGCATGTCTTCTCACTCCGTTGTCTCACTCTCATCTTTTAATATATTATTTTTTACACAGGGTATGTTTATACTGACTCATGCATTTTACATAACTCCCGCACAAATTACCATGCCCGTGCGTAGATTTTAAAACAAGGATGTGTGTATATATGTGTGACCGCATGTATGGTGCTGCCCACTGGAACTGGTAAAAGCTTAGTGCTTATGCAATTGTTTATGGAGCATTAAGAAAATGATTTAGTTTTGGCTATGAAGGTTGTATGTACATACATATGTGCATTATTCGCTCGAATTTGAAATTATATTATTCCGCATCATTCTGATCCTTATTTATGAGTATATTTATTAGATAACAGTATGTGCAACCTTAAATGTGTGCTTGCACATATGTACATATGTATGCGTATGTGCATTCTTATTAAAGTGTTCAATTATCGTACGGTTGCCCTACAGTGCGTATACGTAACAAATTTCATCTCACAAGCATTATTATTCCCTTCAACAACTTAAAACTTAATTAAAACATAGAGTTCAGAGTTCGTGTATATACGTATATGTATATGATATAACTGCTTTCAATTGCAATTTTTTTCAGCAAAGAAAACAAAACTAGCAGTTAGTAGGGGTCGAAGAAAAAGTTCGCTTATTGAGACACTTTTTGATCTTTTTTCCCCAATTTTTAATGTGTCTGATCCAAACAGAAATATGGAAATTTGGAGCTGAGTGTACAGTTATGGTTGTGTGGACAGAATTGAAATTGTAGACGAAAGGAAGGAAGCAGGGAATGACTTCACCTGTTGTAAAGCGCCGATTTTGTATAAATTATATTTGTTCCAGTTTGTTGAACATCTTTTTTTATGTTTCATGTTGACGCGAGTAACCGTTTGGGATTTTTCATTCTGCCATATATGAATGCATGCAAATGAATATCCCAGAATGCTATTTTCAGGTGGTGAGTGAAGTGATTTGGCTAATATAATTTCATCTGTTTTTGATCTTGAGTGGTAGCGAGTGGAAAATGCGTAGCCTTAGATGCCTTTCGGGTATCGTGCAAAGTCAAGTGAGAGATTTTTTATACGAACCTACTACTTGGAAACACATAAGACCTTTAAAAAAGGAAAACAAGAAAGATGAGCCGTGCCAAAGTCTTTATACAAAGTTTTCCAATAAGAATATTATTTTAATAATTTTAATAGTCAAAGAAAAATGTGATTCTGTAAGATAAATGATAGGATGTTTATTTCGATGTAAAGAGGAGGATATGCCAGTAATATTTGTAATTGATAACAATATAGATTTACGAATTCCATCTTTTGAGGTTTTGAATCGACGTTAGCCTGTCGGCGTAACCCTTGTCTTTCAATGGAAATGTCACAATGGAAAAAGTGGCTATGAGTAAAATCACAACATCTCGGTCGCCAATTGCGATCACCTCTTCGAGAGACACCGCGGTCCGGAAACTTTTCCCTTAACCCCTAATTCTAAAGAACGCCGAAGTTTGTCCGGGTTCTCTTCAACACTTGAGACTACAGCAGCAAAATTTTTAGTTCTTCTAGAGCGAGGCGCACGTGTTTAAACACAATCGTCAACATATTAAATACTAATCTTTATAATTTACTTTTAAGTTACACGATGTCGCTAATATTTTTTCTTAATATTACTTTTTATTTTAAGCCCATTTTTTCATATTCTTATGCCTTCTCTACTCGTTTTATTTTTAGTACGAATACTCTCCGCCTCAGTATATACATCCATACACATGTGTATTCAGACTTATGTATGTATGGTGTATATATGTGTATATAAGTGGCTTACCAAGGTGAAACCCTTTTGGCAGTTCTGTTGGCGCAATTGTTTCATATTTGCTGTTTTATTTAATAGTTGTTTTCTTTTTTTGGATGGTAAGGTTACATACATATGTAGATAAATATGTACCTATGTACATAAAAAATGTAAATATGTATATATGGACTAACTGATTTGCTCAAAATTGCCGTGTTGACAATATACGGCCATTGTACGACCATACAATTTGGCTTCATTTGGCTTTGGGTATATGTTCCCTGATAACGCGTTTGGACTAGTAAAAGGTGGATTTTTGTTTTATTAAAGCATTAAAGCCATACCGCTAATAATGTATGCCTTTATCCAGACATACATATACATATACATATGTATGTATTGTATATACAGTTCGGTTAACTTGACTGCAGGCAGTATTTTTTATGAAAATAAATTCCGGTTAAAACTACTGTCAAGGCGAATTTAGAGAAGGTGAAGTTGTCACATCATGCTTGTTCTTCCTTTCATTTTAACAAATTACACAAACAAAATACATGAGAAATAGGTTTTGACATTTCGAACGTTCGTTTGTTTACACAAACAAATTACATTGAACAATTTTCGCTTTTGACTTTTCGAAAGTACGATTGTACCAAGGTCTATAGAATACAAGGTTACGACAACCGAAATCGTCACGGAAACAACTTCGTCATATATACAGTGGGCGAGACTTGATAAATATATTATCAAAAAAGTATTTTTTCCTTTAAAAAATATACATGTATTTGATACTATTGAAGTAGTTATAATACGGTTAACTAAACTAATATAAAATCGCATCTTAGTTTTAATTTTTCAGCAAATATTAATATGAATCACTCACACAAGTTTTTTTTTCAAATTTTTGTCAATAATAACCCACTGCACACTTTTTCACCGGCTCGAATTTTTAAACACGAATTTTTCACATGATAAGAATCACCTTTTCCCAAAAGCTTTTCAGCAGATAAACAAAATATGCGAAAATCTCTTTTTATATTAGATACTTTATAATAGTGCGCGATCGCTTGGTATTTTGATAACTTTTAACGTTTTTGACATTATCTTCTTATGCCATTATAATTTTACATTTTTGGTAAATTAAAATACATTTGTTCGACGTTTTATTTGTTATTGCTATAAGTTAAAAAAAGTGTAATACAAGACTTTAGAATTTTATCGTGAAAGTGTTGCGTTATTTCATAGAGAAAATTATGGAAACTTATTTTATCAGGTGTACAACTTTGCTTCCGCCGTTTTCCGATAGGTGGCTGTACCGGCTGAGGCTGGTTGAAATACATAGATGATAATGCCTTTAAAGTGAGTGTGGACAGTGCCTAACGAATTGTCATCGCCGTTTCAGTGACAGTTGTCCATGTTTTCGTATTATTCACACTCGAAAATGTCCGTTTATGTGCCTAATTCTCTCCATTTACGGGAAGTTTTACTTTTCTGTTACAATTCGAAAAAAATGCAGCTGAAGCGCATCGAATGCTCTCAGAAACTTACGGTGATGCTGCTCTGAGTGAAAGAACGTATCGGGAGTGGTTTCAACGAACATTCACGGCGCCAAGGTTATGATTTGTATTTGGTGGGATCAGCTCGGTGTGATTTACTACAAGCTCTTAAAACCGGGTGAAACCATCACAGGAGATCGCTACCGAAGGCAACTGATGCGCCTTAGTCGCGCGCTAAAAGAAAAGCGGCGACAATATCAAGAGCGACATGATAATACTCAGCCTCACGTTGCAAAAGTGGTCAAAAAGTACCTGGAAACGCTGAAATGGGAAGTCTTGCCCCACCTGCCGTATTCCCCAGATGTCGCCCCTTCTGACTTCCACCTATTCCGTTCGATGGCAAACGGCCTGGCAGATCAACATTTTCAATACTTTGAATAATATATCTGTAAGCACTTTTCCGCAATAAATCTTTTAATTTTGGAAAAAACGGCGGAAGCAAAGTTGTACACCTGATATAATCTTCGGCAACTCTCAAAATTAAACCAACTTCGTCATTAAACATATGATTTCGCTCTTGTCGTAACCTTCTATTCTATAAACCTTGAATTATACAAACAAAATACAATACATAGGCTTTTTGTTTTCGTATTCTTACCTTGACTACTACATTGAACGAAGCAACAAAAAATTAAATTTTTCTTGTTTTATGGTTGATCGAGAAAAGCATTGTTCCTCTACGATGGAAAAGGGTCAAATCGATATAATAAATTATAAAAATCAAGTTAAGGCTTATGGAAGAACTACAAAGACAGGACTGCGATGGCCGTCGCCCCTTGGTAGGGAATGTAAAGCCCTCCGGGTGTTTTTATGACATGAAATAAAAGCCTTTCGGAGCCGGTGGGTTCTCCTACTTTGTTGGGAAACCATTCGGAGCTCGGCCGAAAATCTCTTCAACGGGTTCAAAGCACCAATTATAGATATGTACATGTATATACATGACGAGATGTTGCGGATCAATCTTAACGTGCTCAGTGCTCAGTGACTGATAACTATTTTAGACACGAGGTTTTAGTGTAATAAGATAGTTTGTGAACCTCTGTAATGAAGAGAAACTAGACCCTCGGTAGTGGTGTAAAAAGAATTCATCCTCCCAAGAAGTGTAAGGCATCACAGCCAGCGAGAAAATTCATGGCAACGGTCTTTTCGGGACTCGAAAAGAAAATTTTTGAGCGGTTATAAATACCTAAGTTGTTTCTATAACTGGAGAATACTACGCTTCAAAATTAAAGTGATTGAAAGAAGGAAGTCTGTAAAGAGAAGATATTTGAGGAAAGGTGTGCTGCTTTTCCACAAAAATGCGCCCGTCCACAAAAGCCGCTTTGGGTTGGCTGACCCTGCATAAGGTGGGTCGCATATTTTGAATCACGCACCCTAAACTCTCATAGCTGGTGCCGAGGGACTATTAGCTGCTTCTGAAATATGGGGGTTAGAAATTTATCTCCGACGATGAAACCCTTCTTTTTGAGGATGTAAATTAAATAATTAAATGCTTTGTAAGATGCATCTATCTTTCAGATATTGCCAAATAATTTATGTACTTGTTTTATTTCTACCCATTGGCTCCCATTCCTAGAACCTAAAATGCCTCCTTCGTATATGCAACGAGGCTACTAAAAATGGTTGAAAATAAGCATAACAAGTGAATTTTTTATTATTCAGTCACTTTATATGTCCTTTAATCAGCTTACTATCGAATCCGATAAATTTTTCTCTTCTAC